GAAAGAAAGAAAGAAAGGCAAAAGAGAGAATGAAAGAGAGTGTAAGAGGGAAACAAGCGAGAGGCGTGGAGTGTGAAAGGATCAGTCAGTCAGTCAGAGTCAAGCAAGCAGGCAGGCAAGCAAGCAAGCAAGCAGGATTCAAGGAAGATGAGCAGCAGCAAGCAGTCATTTCCAAGAAAGCGGGAACGAGGCTCAAACAACCTGGTTAACCCACCAGCCATTCATTCGTTTCATTCACTTCTTCATTTCATTGATTCACTTCAGCCCCCCCCCTCCTTCTCCTTCCTCCACTCTTTGACCTCCCCTCCACCCAAGATCAAATCGGAGCCATCACGAACTAAAGCAGATCAGCCGATCACTGACGTCTGTCTGTCGTGCTCCCCGGTCCAGTCCAGTCTGGTCTTCCCTCCTCTTGTCGCAGTCAACTAACTGGACTGTGAACAAGAATCGGAACACGAACAACTCAAGCCACTTAATTGTGTGCATGTGTGCAAATGGCTTGATCACCAACTGCAGTCCATAATGTTCACAGCCAAATCCAACGGTGCAATCTGGGCAATTCCCCCCCCCCCCCTCCTCCTCAAAGACCCTTCTTTCGGCCCCCCTTACAGGGATCAGCTGGGCTTGGCTGCAGAACTTCTAGCCACGGAATTCGAATTCACCTCGAAACATTCCTTCGATCGGTCTTTTCCGGAGCCACTGCCGATGACTGTACAGTGAACGATGGACAGTGTTAAGAGTTCATCCCATATTGCAATGGCAGATTGTCAGCCTCAGTCCAGGGTTATTGCAGGGCACAGACCGCTAGAAGGGGCGAGAGCCCGGAAAGAACGAGGGTTGAGCTTCTAGCCTTTTTTTTACCTTTTCCCTTTCCTTTCCAAATTCCCCCAAGCGATAAGCGACCGAGCGAAACTCGGACCACCTGCATGCAGGTCCCGCGAATTTCTACCACTCACCTTCCATCCAGACACTCGGGACTTGGGCGATACTTTAATCTACTCGCGACAGGCCAATTTAAAATCTACGAATATGAAGTACTCAAATCCAAGAAAAAATGTGCTTTTGAAATCATGCCATGTTCTACCCACGCCTTTCATGGGTGGTGATCGCCCAATCGTTTCTAAAATGGCCGATCCTCAGAAATGTACAGAAACCCTCGCCATAAGGCAAGACAAGACAAACATCTGAGCCGCGACCTGTTCCATACAGGTCAAGCAACTCAGGGGGTAATCGCGTAGGAAAACACAAAAAGATCACAACAGTAATCTGGGGGAATCTATATGTTCAGCGGCTGCGCCGAGTCAGGACTGCGCAGCCAAAACAATGCCAGTGCCAAAATCATGCAACTCCGGCCGTGGATTGGCACGACCCTCTGGCATGCCAAAGTGGCATACATTTTGGAAGACAGAATAACAACATCACAAGTGAAGAGAAAAAGGACCAAACATCGGAGCTGCATCTAGCCACCTACTAGTGTCACTCGAGCGTAGACAGCCAGGCTTAGCAGCAACGAAAGGTCCAAGGCATACAACGCGTAAAAGCATCGGTCCAAACGTCATGAAAGTGACATTGGAGTTTTTTACTCAAAGTCCTTGCCGCTGTTCGATCCGGATAGATCAGCTGCGCTCGTCTTCTCTTCATCGTTGGCGCCACCAAAGCCGTACTCCATGGCCTTCCGCTCGACTTCGTCGTCCGAAAGCTTGGGCAGATCCTTGGCGGCCTTGACGTAGCTGATGTTTTCGGTGAAGCCCTTGGCGAAGATGATGTCGATTTCCTCCAAGCTTCGGTTGGCTGTCTCCGGGTAAAAGAACCAGATGAAGGGAATGAACAGGGCGTTCATGGCAGCGAAGAAGCAGTAGGTACCCCAGCCGATGCTAGAAACCATGACCGGCGTGATCATAACAACGAAGAAGTTAAACAGCCAGTTGCTGCAAGTAGAGACAGCGTTGGCCTTGGCACGAGTCTTGATAGGTGACAACTCGGCCGGGTACAACCAGGGCAGAGGAAGCCAAGTAGCACCAAACGCAGCCATGTAGAGGAAAATACCGAAAATCGATCCCTTGGCGGTCGACTTCGTACCGGGAATAAGGCAACCAAAGGTAATAATCATCGCAACACACTGAACGATGGAACCACCCAGGAAGAGCTTGCGGCGACCGATCTTCTCAATAAAAAACCAGGAAAAGGTAGCAAAGATAGCATAGACAATCATATTGACACCGGAGATCAATAGAGCAAAGTTAGTACCCTCTTTAAGGTTTTCTTCGAGTAACAGCGGCAAGTAGTAGATGACCGCGTTGCATCCACCGAGCTGCTGAAAGATCTGAGACGAAGAGCCGATCAGCATGCGACGGAGATGTTGGGAACGGCCGCCGGTGAGTAGGTCACGGTATGTTACACCCTGTCCAGCAGCACTCGAACTAATGTGATTGGCATTAGCTTTCCACACAACCAGGTAATCGAAACTTGCGACGACTGCAAGATGACTGCAAAGTGACTAGACTTACGCTCTGATGGAGTCAATGACCAGCTGCTTCTGGAGCTGTGTCTCGTGGTCGTCGATTTCAAAGCCACCCAGAGCCGCCAGCACGTACTCTCCCTCCTGGACGCGATCCTTGGCAATCAGGTAGCGCGGGGAATCAGGAAGGTAGTACATTCCGACAATGATAATCAAACCAAAGAAGATCTGGAAGGCGATGGGGAAACGCCACACGAGATCCTTGTTACCAAAGTGAGCACCGTAATCGATCCAGTAGGCAATCGCAGTACCGATGGCGATGATACCACCCTCGATACAGATTAGAAGACCACGGTTGCTTGTCTTCGAACATTCAGCCTGGTAGGTAGGGATGGTGGAGGTGTTCATTCCGTTCCCGATACCGGTGATGACACGGCCGATGAAGAATTGCAACAGGGGGATGTGGCCGGCAAACGACGTAACCTGGATAATGACACCGACAATCATGATGGTGGCGCCGAACATGATGATCAATCGACGGCCAAGTCTATCACCAAAGAACAGAGCGAACAAAGCGCCAAACAAGCAACCTGCATCGTGTGGTCGTTAGGAATGATCAAGGACTCTGACAGGATATAGACTGGGAAGTATACGAACCCAACTCATAGACCGAGGTCACCAGGGCCTGCATGGTGGCATTGCCCTTGGTGGCAGTGAAAAGGTCTTGGAAAGCCGTGTCACTAATAATACCGGACATGACACCCTCTGTAGTAAAGCAAGATTAGCTCAAGACTGTCCATGGTGGCATCCCAGAGACACCCGGTGAAGGATCAAGACATACGATCATAACCGAACAGAAGGAAGCCCATCGTAGCAATGGTCGAGATGGACACGGACAATTTCTTGCCCGACATCCCTGCGTACGTCGGCGCCATGGTGAAAGGATCTGCACAAGACAACGGCAAACACTCAAGAAGATAGATGTAGAGGTTGAGGAATCCCAGTCAAGGTAGATGGGATATCTAGAGCGATCGAACACTTAAGTTGAGTCGCCCTCTTCTCCGATGAACTCCTGTTTCAGTCGAGTCTCCTGTGCTCGGTTGCACCCTGGGCTAGGAAAGGAGGAGAAGGAGGGATGCAATAGAGATGAATGAGAACGAGACAAAAACCGAACGCGGAGAAGTCGGGGAGGGAAGGGGGGGGATTATCTACTCATCCCCATGGTGCTCATGGTCTCATGCATGCTGGCTGACAATCTCTTATCCCCCAAGCTGGTGCTGCGCGAGTACTCCACTAGTCGTCGACGGGCATTGAAAACATAATCGCACTCCTCATTATTGTTTGTTTTGTGGAGCAGCAGGGGACCGAATGCATCAATAACGCTGGGTTAAGCATCTTTTGGGGGTGGATCCAGAGGCCCACTGTGGGTGGGCAATGAGCAATGACATCACAGGATTTGCCTGGGGACCACTAAGATAATTCTCAGGAAATTGATTTATTAATTCGGTTTATTTTATCAAGTAAATCAAAAATGAAAAGAAAAAAGCAGAAAAAAATATATAGAAAAGAGACAATTGGAGGGGGAAAATATTGTAGCCGCAAAAAAGGGGGACCGGGAGGGAGGCAAAGAATCGTACCAAGGATTGTTATTCTTCCCACCCGAGGCTACCTGAGATTCGGGATGGGCCCTGCAGTTGGCCCTTTTTGGGTGAGTTGAGTTAACATAGCAGGTGTCACTCATTATTGTCCAATTCCGACACACGGGTTAACACCCAGCATCGGAAACATAATGGAAGCCTGTGACATGTCTAGCAGTCCTAAGTACGTGGCTGTTGTGTCCGGAAGATGCTTTCTCAGCTCGCTGTGCATTGATTTAACGAGGATACCGTCGGTAGAAAGGTACGGCATAGAAGATCTGATGATGGGTACGGAGACAGCCCAGCTGCCTGCCGGACCGGAACCGCCGATTCCCAACGTGGAATCAATTGTGCAGGGCTGAGTTGCCTGGTGAATTGGCATGTTCCACTCAATTAAGCAACTCAAGCGAGGGGGTTTTCATGGAGAATCCTCGTGCCGGCTGAATAATCTTACAATCTTACAGTCTTACATGTTATCTCGCCTGCCTGGAGTCAGTGCCCGCTCCCGGGGAAATCTGAATGCGGGCGCCATTGTTGTTGCAGTATTTGAGCCTCCAAGATTCGATTCCCGCTGCCTAACATCCACCATGATCAGGGTTCAACACCCGTCTATTGCAACTGCATCACAGAACAAGATCTTCCTGCCCATGCAACCCCAGGTCACTTGAGGCAATGATGGTCAAAACTGAATGCGCGCAGCAGTCAGTCGGCCCTCCTTCGGGAAGCCGTTTCCGTAGGCGGTTCCATAAAGTTTCCCGACTGCGCCTAGCGTTCAGACTGCAAGGTGAGACGACCTTGCGCCAATGGCAATCTTCACTTAGCTTATAATGAAAACCTGTTATCCATATTTTCGAGAATATCGAAATTATGTCCGACAGGAAGAGAGGTTTAGACAGATGTAGGGTTAACACAATTGCTTTGGTGGGAGGCCCTCGCTGCTGATTCGGTCCCACCGCTCACCAAAGTCTGGTTGCTCCCCACTTGGTCTTCCCCTCTCCATCTCCAGGCTCCATTTCCCCTCCCCTCCCATAATATGGGTTTAATATCCCTCCGCGTCCTTCTACGCCGTCGCGAGTCACGCAGCTCTTCGCGCCTTATTCAGTCTTCTGAACCCGCGGTTTTCGGAGGTACACCTACTAGGATTTAGATTCTCGACTTTCGATACCTTACCGGCCATTTGGTCTTCGAAAGGTGTCTGATGTTCTCTATGACCGTAGTTCCACTCGGAACCGAAAGGGACTCATGATCGGGACGGCCGTTGGCCCGTCCAGGTACCCCCGAAAGTCGGCGGAAAAAGTTATTCACGACCCAGTCAGATATTCTGTAGTCATGAGACTGCCAAGCATGCGATAAAAATCGACGTGTGTCTGCTGCGATCTGCCTGGCTGCTGTACCTCGAAGCCCCCACTGAATTCTGACACTAAGCAATTTCGGGTGATTCTCTGGAATCCACCCCTCGGCGCTGACAAGCAATGAATCAGCACTTTTCGTTCGGAACGCATGCGTGCCGGTTTGCTTAGCAGAGCTTAGCATATGCTCTGATGGTCGAAGGATGACATGCTTGTCTCGTGCCGCAAAGGTGGTGGTGGTCATGACGAGCTCGATCTACTTGTCATTCGCCATTACGTCAATGGCGTTTTTGTGGCCGCTTTGGCCATAAAAACGAAGGCCAAGCAATCAAGAAGAAGAGAACACTATGCTTGTTTGGCCTTGGTGTACGAGGTGTCGACCAAACTCCCAAGCCCTCGTCTCGGCAAGAGACGGAGTGGGGGTAAAGCTTGTGGGGAAGATCCAACCTTTTTGGGCAGATCAAGTGGGGGGAAGTCGGGGACTAAAACGACGCGCACCTGCCGCCAATCGTCATTTGAATGCTTCGTCTTCTTGTACCCAGCGAATGCGATCCATTGGTCAATGAAATTGTCAGTCAGTTCCTGATTCTGCGCCAATAGAACAGTTTGGTTTTGCTGAGCAAGACAATCTGACTTCTGCCCCTCAAGTCCGAATCCTGCCTATGGCCCCATTGACTCTCGTCGGGGAAATCCATATCCTTCCAGGAGGGAGACTTTTGAAGCAGCATGTTCCGCGCCAGTCTTCCGACATTTGACGGGCAGACTCATGTAGAAAGGATCGACATGAATGAACGTGCCGAAGTCCGCTCGGATAGATGTCTGACCAGGCTCTAAATTGATTCGAAGAGCAGTAGTGTAGCTACCAACGAAGCAGTTGGACGTAGAGCGGTCCGGGTAAAAGCAACGGCCATAGCGAAAAAAGACGAGCGACAGCCGAGGTGGTGACGACATCGACGATAGTCGAGTGATTTATTTTCTGATCGTGAGAATCGGGTGAAGATAATTGTCGCCTGCACTAACTTGCCAAAGCATAGAACTGAATTGGCCCCATGCTTCATTCGCTAGCATTAGTATGGTGCGGTTCAAGTAATGATCACCGCATTAGGCAGGTATCAGATGTCGGGTGAAAAAGTCCGCGCCGTCTCAGGCATCAGTATCCATATCCTGCTCGGTGGACGAAAAGCACGATAGCTTTTCTGGGCTAACACGGACCCGAGTGGGTGCATCATCCTCTACGTGTCAAGAAAGAATCATACAACGGGGTGTTGCGGTGAGGCCATCGGCCTTCGTCCGACTTGTTCCCGAGACTCAGGTCGAATTTTGAAGTAGACTGACTGGTTGAGATCTCGACGGAGACGGCCCGAGGGTTGAAACCGACTGCACACGGTCGGGCTTGGCTGCGACAAAGATTCGGGATGGAACAACGGAACGGGAATCCAAGTGTTGAGAATGTCGACGCTTCAGGAGATTCGACCCCGCCCGACAGTGCGGAAATTTTCATTCCGCATACACCGTATCACGTAAGAGGTCACCGTTGCATGATCAACCCATCATTGGCGAACAATAGTGGACTGGACAGAGCCGATATTGAGTAACAGAAAGTCAACCTTGAAAGCTTTGCCGGTCGTCCCAAGCGAAACACACACTTCGATCGAACAGTAATGGAGGGTAAAAATTCGGTCCTTGGCTAGTCAAGCTGCATCCTGGCGAAATGAGTAATTAGTTGGTTGGTGGTTGGTTGTCTAAAACTGGATAGCCGTGAGTTGACACTTGGCTTGAGCCGAAAAATGAGGTGACTCGCGGACCATGCTGCATCTGACGAGAACCTCGTGCGCGAGGTCATGACTGAGCTCGCGCTTTCGATGCACAGAAGACTCAGCAGACAGCATAGCTTTATATAGCCTTGCTCTGCGCACGAGCTCGCATGTCCAGGGGCAGAGACCGGGAGCCCGATGCTTCTTATACCGACCAGCGGACCCGGCACCGGCGTGCCGAGTGCCAAAAAGGCCATCTCGGTCTGGATGCCGGGGCTCTCGGAGCTTCAAGTCACGGGGACAGGTAACAGAAGAAGATGGTAGGATGGAGTCCAACAGACTTGGGCCAATCAGTGAACCTCAAAGCACTTTCAGCTTGTGTGACGTGAACAGAATAGTATCTGGACAGTTCTGAAGGCAGCCTGGTTCGGGGAGTGCTTCACATGCAGATTCCCCAGTTCTAGAACATCCATGCCACAAATGCCAACCCAACGAAGTGCGACACTTTCAAGCATCAGCTTCGCTACAAAAAATAATACTCAGATTTGGTTGAACTGAGGCGTTCACCAATTGGGTAATAGTGTGGGTTGTGGCTTTGCAGGTCAACAGTTGCAATCAGGAAGCCACCAAAGTATAGCAGCCTACGGAGTAGAGTTGTCGCATCGAGGCCTGTTCCTTGCTGCATGATCGGTGCGTACCTGACAGCTGTAAACAAAGAAAGATCAGATCGGCGGGTTATGTAAGCAAGAGCTTCGACATGGCTATTCGTTCATTTCGTTTCAACTCGGCATTGTTTCTTCGTTTCTTGAGGATGTTGATTCAATTTCGCCCATTCTTGGGCACATTCCTGTTATAAACTACGTCCAGATCTGACTATATGGCAGCATTACATTTGTTCATCACATCTACATGTATCCCATGCGTGACACCCTAACCCGTATGCCGGTGGCGCTACGAGCCGTTGCCCTTGCTTATCGATGGCAACGAGGGCTCTGTCCATTTGCCCCCTTGGGTATGCCGTTCTTTGCTGCGACGCCCCCCTTGCCCCCTCTCAAAGCAAGTGCTGTCTGTCCCGGCAGGTCGGTTCGGAATTACCGGATATGTTATGAAGATATCACCCGGAATGTCGATTTCTGCGATCTATAGAATCTTGTGTCACCACTAGCAGCAAATAGACTCGGCGATCGTTGCACTGGACTTTATGTGCTTCTCAGTCCTGCGTGCCATGCCGTGCTGAAGCACCTCAATAGTCAATAACATAGAGTTTTTTCGGAAGTCGCTTAATTACTAGATTTGTCGTGATGTGACGGATGTATCACCGGAACAAAGCGAGAGGGTGGAGTCAATTGCCTTTGATGTCTCGTCGGGAAAACCCTACTTTGAGTTATTGTGCTTTCATCCGCGTCTCACTCAGCCTATAGTAGCGATCTCAGCGAGACCGATGGGAACAAGCCGCCGATTTCTCTGCTAGCGATCACGTGTTGACAGCGATGGGTGTCGCACTTGTCACTTCAGAAAACCTGGTCACTGATTATGCATGCCCTAGCTACTCTTATGCATCATCAACTGCGTGTGATGGATACTTTTCCTGCCCTTGGTATTCCATCATATAATCATGACAAGTGCACAGGCTTTCCATACTACCCGAAAATCATGGGGGTATATTTTCGGGACCAAATCCAGTGGCAAGATGCTTGAACGCATATGTTGCGACAACAGCATGAAAGCCTGTCCACCACTCAGACGGCAATCTTTCAATGGAACATCCCATGACTTCATGGAGTTCCTACGCCTGATTTATCTTTCATGTGTCTGGTACGGTTCGAAGCGGGGAACAAGCATATCCGGGTCAAAGCCTGAGGCAGACAACTCAGCCGATGAAGTCAACCAACACATGTGGCCAAGAACGTGGAGTACTGCACATATCCCACAAAAGACAAAACATCATTGCGTGTCGGATAACCTGCCATTTCAGACTATCCATGGGAATCCGCAGTTATCTCCGGCTTTTCTGGACGTCCTATGCATATCAGCATGAACTCGCTTCGGCGTTTTAGCTCAATCCTGGCGCGCAATCGTATCCTGGTAGCCTTTGCCGAGGCCATCTCTAGCCACCAACATTTTCACGAACACACGAGGACATGACGACCTTCATCTCATCATTCGGCCCCAACATGGCAATCAACCCCGTCGGGCAATTCTTTGGGTATACGTACCTCCAGTCATGTCGCTGTGTGGTGAGCCCCACCTCCTGCGTTCAGACTTGGTTGCTTGCCGGGCGAGACTTGTCATTTCCGGGGGCGGCCGGCAAGAGTGCTTCTGGGGCACATGGGGGGTCCATCTCCTCCCCCCTCATTCTCCAAAGGGAAAAGAAAAATCTGCCCGGGGGCCCATGTACTCGTAGGTTAGCTCTCCACATCTCCAGACTCCGGACTCCGAGGCGAAAAAGTTTAGGATAATGTCTTTCCCGCTGCGGTTGTCATCCTCCGGTCGATTTCCGTGAGCGATGAAGTTCCCAGCAAGCGACAGATTCTCACAGCATCCTACCAAGATCAGAACCAAAGACAATCCGATAGAGTTGTGCGCCTTGCTCGGAGGCAAGCCACTTTGACTCCTAGCTGGTGATAAAACCGTACGTGGGTGAACGACGGAAACGCTGTGCTGCCATTTGCTACAGATCTAGTATGCTCGCTCAGATAGACTTCTTGATGCCAAGTATCGAAGTTCTCCGTGCTGCAGACACTTGGAAAGCTTAGCCACGTCTGAGCGGCTAGCAGGCTCATCTTGCACTCTACTCCATCCATTTCTGCCACTCAATGCCGATGTAAGAGCTGACTTGTGCTGGCACAATTTCAACTAGAAGGAAGGCCACAGTTCATAGGCGGTTCTACCATACACGGCTTTATTCTTAGGCTTCACTATGAAATTATATGTGACTATCTCGATCATATCACAACAAGATCTCAGCCATGACTGACCCCCTTCTTTTTTCTCGATGTCCGCAGGCATCCCGTGGTGTGGCCTCGCAATTTCAAAGGCTGCACAAAAGTGACTTGTTGGGCAATTCTGTCTTGATCAATCTTCCGGGGTGAATAATCCCTCAATGAAGACATTGAGAAAACACTTCAGTAAGGCCATTGCATAGGGCTAGGCCATGCAATAAGTTGTGAAGGGCGGAGACTGAGTATTCTCTACTCTCGGATTCTCTTTCAGGTTTCAAGCACAGCCATCGATGTCACAAATCCGCGCCCGCATTGTGTTGTACGCTTCTTACAAGTGGATTTCAGACGCTGCGAAAGGAGACATCATCTACAGAGTGAATGACTTACTCGACACCTTTACAGCGGCGGTCAAAGTGAGCGATACAGCTGACAGACCAATCTTTTTCCATGCAGCCATCAACCAACTTCCGAGCCATCGCACCAAAACGCTCTTTGCGAGACTCGAGTCATCTCATCCGCTGCGCAACTGGGCTCAGTTCTCGGAGTACCAAGCCGAATCCGCCTGCTTACTGTACTCTGATTGCGCTGCACTGCAAAGATTCCCTTCCCGCTAGATCCCCCTTCCAACAGGGATTTTCGCTCTCCCCTTAGGTCATTGCTCTAACGCAGACAGATACTCCTAAAACTGCGTCCATTGGACTGTTCATTCCCCTGCCAAAACATCGTCCGTATACATGCGTTCCTGGCCCCATTTCGAGTCCGCGCGTGGCATCGACCTGGCGCAATGCAGCACGAATGAAGATTAGCGAAGGATAACCCCCAGGACTACGTCTGTCTACTTCATGTTCCGCGCCGAGCGCAATAAAGGCTTCGAGGAAATGATTTTGATGTTTTGAGGCCTGCTCGCCACTGCTTGCAACCAAGCCTGGAAGACGGCCGGTTGTGGTAATGTAGTGCAGCTCAGCATTTACATTCAAAGCGCATTATACCATTTACCGGCAAACTGAGCGTAGCTCAGGCCATGACGCTACGTTGCAAATTTTTTTTTCATCGCTTAGCCGGCCGTCGATGCGATGAGATCTCCTCCTGGCACCAGCTATCGCCTCTCCGCCAAGACTTTCCGACTCTGGAATAGATAAGAAGCCTTGGTCGCATCAGAAGCGGCCGACGGGGAAATACGGTGACTCGGGTGGGGATGGCCCAACTTGGAGGCAGGAGAGACGGTCCACGGTAGGTGAGCAAATTCGGGTTGTCCGGGAAGACATCATCGAGGCTGGAGCCGGACTATTGTAGACAAGGTCGAGCTTAAAAGCTCGGCGATGAGTGCTTCGCTCGAGGGTGCTGTCGGTGGTCCTGGTAAGATGAAGAACGATGGGAGCGAGCCTGGGACGGGCACGGAGGCCGTAGCAAAGGATGTATAGTACTGTACGTGCTGACATGGGCTTTGTTCTAAGGTGATCCACAGCGAAAGGAAAAAAGTTCGGCGACAAGATATTTGCTTGACGTGGCGAGATCCTTGTTGTAAGTAAGCGATTAAAGGTGATCCTGGAGAGACATTTGTATTGATTAAGCAGTCAACAATTCAGCATAAGATTTGTGGGCATCTCATTGCACCAAGCATTCCAGTATATGGAATTATCCCCCAGCTTGAGCTTTAGATGGAATGATGATTTCTGGATGATCTGGCCTAGTGTGGATCAAATCTGATATTGCCGGTTTCGGTCACGGAGGATCGACCGGACCCTGGAACAACCCATTCATTGAACACTCTAGGTATCTTACACACATAGTAGTAGTTTCACTACCATCGTACTATGTATGTCATATCATTAGCCAGTCACAAAATAAGGAACCTGGAGATAAAGTTTGGTTGTGCCTATGGAGACGTCAAGCAGGCGATCTCGAAGGAGAAAAGCCGAGGATGAAGGAGGAATCGATAAGTCGGCCGAGAAGAGCCCGTCGCCCGAATTGCGCTGGAAAACCCCGGGTGACCAACGACCGCTCTTCCATTTCCCACCGGCCAGTGGCAGCGTTCAATAGGCTCGCTGGACATTATCCCGAGGATCATTTCCCCAGTCTATCTCCTCCACATTGAACTCAAGTCTGTCTGTCTGTCCGCCGTGACGTTCTTCCATAACCCCGTGCTTCTCGGGCGAATCATTCCCTTGGCCTCCTTCACCTCTTAACCCCTAACTTAATTCTTCTTTTTAAACTTCTTCTTTCTTCCTACCACTTCCCAATCCTCAATCCTCCATCTCGCCCCCGTCACCCCTCTCCCTTCCCCTCACACCACATACCCATCGCCGCAATGACGAAACTCACCGGCGCTGATGTCGCCCAGCACAACTCCAAAGACTCGTGCTGGGTCATTGTTCACGGAAAGGCCTACGATGTGACAGAATTTCTGCCTGGTCAGTTTTCTCATCTTGAGTGTTTTCACCAACCTCCGTCGCCACTAACACCACCGCAGAACACCCCGGTGGCCAGAAGATCATTTTGAAGTATGCCGGCAAGGATGCGACCGAGGAGTTCGACCCCATCCACCCTCCCGACACTCTGGACAAGTTCCTCGACCAGTCCAAGCACCTGGGCGAGGTCGACATGTCCACAGTCGAGCAAGAAGAGAAGGTCGCCGATCCGGAGGAGGAGGAACGCCAGGAGCGCATCAAGCGCATGCCCCCGCTGGCGGCGTGCTACAATCTGATGGACTTTGAGGCGGTCGCTCGCAACGTGATGAAGAAGACGGCCTGGGCCTACTACTCCAGTGGTGCGGACGATGAGATTGTAAGCCTTCCTGCCCTAAACACGGGCCCGAAAATTGTTGAAACGCATCGCTAATCTTGCCCCGGGGCTGCAGACTATGCGCGAGAACCACTCCGCGTTCCACAAGATCTGGTTCCGCCCTCGCATCCTGGTGGATGTGGAGCACGTCGACTTCTCGACGACGATGCTAGGCACCAAGGTGTCGGCGCCGTTCTACGTGACGGCGACGGCGCTGGGCAAGCTGGGCCACCCGGAGGGGGAGGTGATCTTCACGCGGTCGGCGCACACGCACGACGTGATCCAGATGATCCCGACGCTGGCGTCATGCTCGTTCGACGAGATCGTGGACGCGCGGCAGGGCGCGCAGGTGCAGTGGCTGCAGCTGTACGTGAACAAGGACCGGGCGATCACGAAGCGGATCGTGCAGCACGCGGAGGCGCGCGGGTGCAAGGGGCTGTTCATCACGGTGGACGCGCCGCAGCTGGGCCGGCGCGAGAAGGACATGCGGTCCAAGTTCTCGGACGTGGGGTCGAGCGTGCAGGCGTCGGGCGGCGACAGCGTGGACCGGTCGCAGGGCGCGGCGCGCGCCATCTCCTCGTTCATCGACCCCGCGCTCTCGTGGAAGGACATCCCCTGGTTCCAGTCCATCACGCGCATGCCCATCGTGCTCAAGGGCGTGCAGTGCGTCGAGGACGTGCTCCGCGCCGTCGAGGCCGGCGTCCAGGGCGTCGTCCTCTCCAACCACGGCGGCCGCCAGCTCGAGTTCGCCCCCTCCGCCGTCGAGCTCCTCGCCGAGGTCATGCCCGCCCTGCGCCAGCGCGGCTGGCAGGATCGCATCGAGGTCTACGTTGACGGCGGCATCCGCCGCGCCACCGACATGCTCAAGGCCCTCTGCCTCGGCGCCAAGGGCGTCGGCATCGGCCGCCCCTTCCTCTTCGCCATGTCCGCCTACGGCCAGCCCGGCGTCGAGCGCGCCATGCAGCTGCTCAAGGACGAGATGGAGATGAACATGCGCCTGATCGGCGCCAATAAGATCGAGGACCTGAACCCCAGCTTGCTGGACGTCCGCGGTCTAGCCGGCGGCCACAATGCCGTCGTGCCGTCCGATACCCTTTCCGCGGGGGCGTATGATCCTCTCGTCGCGCCGCGGTTCAGCGAGAAGGCCAAGCTGTAGGGCTTTCTTCTCTTCTGGTGCACTCTACTTCCTCATCTTGGTTTTCGCGACGGTCTGTCTGCCTCTTTTTATATACATGTTCCTTTATACCCTGTTGTTAGACTTTCATCCGATCGGATTATAAAACATACGGCGAGATGACCTTCCTGCCTATGCATATATACAATATATGATGACATCACTGGATCTTGTTACTTTATCTCCTGTAGCAAATAGTATAGCCACAGATCTCCCCATCGGAGTAGTTCGTCTGTAAATAGTGATATTAACGCCTAATGCACCCGATGCAGCGCTTTTGTTGAAAAAATATGACTGGCGTGGAGCAGATACGCTAGCACCCATCCTGTCCATGTCCATGACCATGATCACCATGGCCACTTACTGCTCCTGTACACCTATCCGCTCCCGCCTGGCCTGCCTGCCACATGCAAACAAGATTATATACATTCCGAACTTAACCTCCCCGCCTCCCGCCTCCAGTTGGTCCATCTTCCATCTCACCTAGAATCTCCACGAAGTACCACGCGCAAATACTCCGCCAACCCAACCACCACCCACAAGAACCCAAACTCACAGAACCACCACCTGCGGCTTATTCCTCAGCACCCCCTCATCGCGATACATCGCAGCCGCATTGACCATCCACCCGCAGCCGGCGTTCTCGCCGCCCCAGACCTTGGCCCAGACGATCCCGAGCACGCCGTAGATGACGACGCGCGCGGCGTCCACCCACCCCGCCACATCCAACAGATCCCGGATCCCGCCGGTGACGAGGGCCCGCAAGCGCGACCGCCGGGCGCGCGGGCGGCGGGCGGCGCAGAGGCGCTCCCACGCGTGCTGGGCCTCGTCGTAGTAGCAGCGCTCCAGGCCGTAGGCGGCGTGGATGTGGCCGAAGACGTGCAGGGCGGGGCGAACGCGCCACGCCTCGGCCAGCAGCGCTGGGCACCCCGTCGAGAAGATCGGGGACAGGTCCAGGTGCGCCGCTGGCGGGGTGTGCGTGATCAGGATGTCGGTGGACGCGGGTACGGTGCCGGCCCAGGCGTCGTGCTGCGGCGGGTAGGTGAAGGCGTGTTCGGGGCCCAGGGGCGCGATCGCCGGGATTTGCGGGGCGCCGTAGAGGGTTAGCGTGCGTGGGCGGTTGTTGTTTGGGTGGTGGTAGTGGTAGTGGAGGAGCGGGGTGGTTTGGGACGAGGATGATGATGGTACGGAAGGGGAGGGAGAGGTTGCGGGGAAGGTGAGGGTGATTGAGGAGTGTTGGAGGTAGTGGATGTCGCCCCAGTCGATGCGGTCGAGGTCGTCGGAGGGGAGGGAGCGGAGCGAGGCGGTCGAGGAGGAGATGGTCGCGTAGGACGAGGCGGCGGCGGCGGCGGCGGCGGCGTCGTCGCGGTCTTCTGGGCGGCGCGAGCGCACGTCGAAGTAACTGTCGTGGTTGCCACAGATGACGACTTTATGGGCATGCGGCAGACGGCGCAGCCAGTTCACGGCTTGTTGGATCTCGCGCGCGGAGCCGTCGTTGCTCAGGTCCCCCGCGTGGATGAGGAGGTCGCCATCGGGGATGTCGGCCCATTCGAGTGTGTGGGTGTCAGAGATGCAGACGACGCGGATCGGATGAGCATTCGGGGGTGGTAGTCGTGGTGGTCCGCGGAGTCGATTGAGGAGGTGGTGCACGGGGTAGATGAAGGCGGCTAGAGGAGAGAAGATGATGTAGTCGGTGAACGGGCGCGGGTGGAAGGGAGAGGACATGGTTGGAGGTAGATGAGGGAGTGTAGGTTGGTAAGGTGAGTCGATACGAGATGCATTCAGGGTGTGTAAGTTAATTAGTCCATGGCTGTTGGTGCTGTTGTTGTCTCAGCCAGGTCTGCAGGTAATTGTGTAATCGGATGGAGTCGTTTGGAAGCTTGGGCGCTTTCCATGTGCTGCTTTACTGGCCTGAGGCTACAATGAGCCGAATTGATGCCTGGGGTGTTTCCTGGGCCTACGTAACCTCAGGCCGAGTTTTGCGGAGGTGGGGGAAAGTTGGTTTGGCCTCGTGCCTGCCATGATTGGCTCTCTGCCTTTGTTATCCCAAATGCAACCTGTAATGCCTCAGGTTTCAGGCTTGCAGCTACTAACTTTCTATGACACGATGCATAAGAAATCTCAGCAGCCTCAGTCATCAGGTATTGTTTCCATACACCCGGCTGAGACAGAACACTCACAATGCTAGACAGTCTGGGGCTGGATGAGTGATTCAGAGCACAATCATATCTCAGACATGTACCCGCATGGGCCGATCCGTTAGTTGAATCATAGACTCCGCCAGCATTGAGTGACATCAAGCCTAGATCGATCGGGTGCCAACGGGCGGGATCCTCCGATTATGGCTGGGGATGGGTTAAGTTATATCTTGTGTAACAGACCGGTCGCATGTAGTAGGTTTGCATGTATATATGGAACAAGTTATAGGGTGGAAGGATGGTGGTATGGATGGACAAGTTTGTGGTAGATTCTTACTGTAGAACCCCGGATTCAAAGCTAGAAGCTTTTCTCTGCATGCAACACGAGCAAGACCAATCAATATCTCCCCATATCCTTATTAATTAAGTCGACTATCGTACTCTGTTTAACTCCTCCTGGATCCAGCTTCTGGGTATAAACAGACTAAGTTCCATAGTACATAGTAAGGATGTCTGTGCCCCTCTTCTCCCGCAACGCCATCTATAGATACGACGACTGCCACGCCCACAGCGCATGTTCTAGAATCCCATGTACTTACTGTACAGTACGGACAAGCAAGCAGGTTCGCTTTTCTCCGGGAATCTGATTATGAGGTGATCTCTTTTTTACGGTGAACTGATTTCTTGCCCATTCAGGCCCAACTGAGAAAATATCTATTGATTTGCCACCTGAGTGTTAATGGTGGTTGTCAACCTTCAACACTGTGTTTCTTAGCGTGCGTGCTCTCTCCTCTGTCTCGCCCTCACGACTTCCTACTCCCTCCCGCATCTACGCTTGCGGACATTCCTGGATGAATCCTGCCATCGACACTTTATTTTCCCTGTCTATCGTTCGCTTCTTCAATCACCCCCTTGCTTAGAGCGCATTATTCCCCGAGAAGGTCTAGAGTTGTGGAAACGAGGCTCACATCGGATGGTGGTTGGTGGTTGTTGCATCGATCCGTCTATATCGTTTGCGTCATAACTCCGGTGCATCATCCCTCGTCTTCCTACTGCTCTTCGCCTGGGAAAATATTAGGCTTTGATTTCCATGTTCATGCATCGCATTCTGCATTGTCCCATCGCCCAGTTGAAGAAATTCCTTGTGACTGATCTGGTTCATAGACTGTGAAGTGTGTCTTGTTGAACCATCGATTTCCTACAATTCATATTTGTCTACAACCCATTGCGGGCGCTGTTGAACCCAAACCCAAACCAAAAGACGACCCCTCAGATTTGCAGAACCCAACACTTTCTCTGCCCAGTAAGTTACTTACTTCTTTCTTACCTTACCTAGTCTACCTACTACCATACTACTACTGTACCCTCTCCGCCCACCCGCCGCCGCCGGCCACACCCACCAACTACAGGTACTGAATGGACACTGACTGACTGACTGGACTTCGCGCTACCAAGTCGAACGCCCGCCATCCACCCCCCAACCTCCGTCCTATCTATCTTTTCTCTTTGCCCCCCTCCCTTCTCCTCCTCCTCCCTCCCCAAAACTTTCGCCTCCGTCATTTTCAACCCCCCCGATATCCACCCCGTCGTTACTCATTCTTTTGTAACATCACCATGGACGGGGTTGAAATCACCAAAGCCGTTATCAATAAGGGAAAGCAGATGGCTAGTGTCGCTGCGGCCGCTGCTAATGGCAATGGCGGTAAGAAGAGAAGAAAAGGGACCGACTTAAAGCCGATCGTCACCAACGAACCCGGTGCGCCTGTCGACCAAGCGACTACCACTACTGAGGGGTATGGTTATTTCGCTCGACTCCCCCCCCCCCATTCTCCATCGTGTTCATGATTTCGGGTCCATCCCATCTGATTGCCTAATTTCTTGTTTTTCTACTCCGCCCACTTTCCCAGCCCGCTTTTTCCTCTCCTAAAATCCTCTAACCGCCATGTCTGGCAGGAATCCCGCATACGGCGCCCCGCCATCGCGCTCATCCTCCTCTTCCTCCGGCGCCGGCGAAGAACTGGAGACTACCGCTGAGGAGGAAGACTCGGAAGATTACTGCAAGGGTGGTTACCACCCGGTCAGCGTCGGAGAAACCTACAACAATGGCCGATACGTGGTCGTGCGCAAGCTCGGGTGGGGTCACTTTTCGACAGTCTGGCTGTCCCGCGATACGACGACCGGCAAGCACGTCGCCCTGAAGGTCGTTCGCTCCGCCGCTCATTATACCGAAACCGCCATCGACGAGATCAAGCTACTGAATCGCATCGTCCAAGCGAAGCCATCCCACCCTGGTCGCAAACATGTGGTCAGTCTGCTCGACTCGTTCGAGCACAAGGGTCCCAACGGTGTCCACGTCTGCATGGTGTTTGAAGTGCTGGGAGAAAATTTGCTCGGATTGATTAAGCGATGGAATCATCGCGGCATTCCCATGCCGCTCGTCAAACAGATTACGAAGCAAGTGCTGCTGGGTCTGGACTACTTGCACCGGGAATGTGGAATCATTCACACCGATCTGAAGCCGGAGAACGTGCTGATCGAGATTGGCGACGTGGAGCAGATTGTGAAAACGTACGTCAAGGAGGAGGCCAAGAAGGAGCAGAAGGAGGACAACCGCAACGGCCGGCGGCGGCGCCGCACTCTGATCACTGGAAGCCAACCGCTGCCCAGTCCCCTCAACACGAGTTTCGAGTTTAAACACAGTTCACAAAATTCCCACAGCAGTCTCAGCCAGATGGTGAACGACTCATCAGGTATGTTTAACAAAAGATTTCTGAGCATCAGAAATCGCTAATCGCAAGTGACAGAGGCTAACTCGGGGGCTGCGTCCATGAAAGAGGTATTAGGCATCAAGGATGAAGATGAGAAACAGAAACAAAGAGAAAAGACTGCGTATGTTACCCCAGACGAGATGGAGGCCCAAACCAGTACACTAAACGACGTTTAGCGATCTCTTGGAACGAGAAGTATCGGGCATCTCGCTCGACAAGTCTTCCACCCCGAGTGAGGAGCTGGATTGCGATATTATTTCCGTGAAGATTGCCGATCTGGGCAATGCGTGCTGGGTTGGGCATCATTTCACGAACGACATCCAGACGCGACAATACCGTTCGCCGGAAGTTATTCTAGGATCCAAGTGGGGAGCTAGTACGGACATCTGGAGTATGGCATGCATGGTGAGTTGCAGGTACATCCCGATCTCCGCGATTGTCCTCTGACCATGAAACAGGTTTTCGAATTAATCACAGGCGACTATCTGTTTGACCCGCAATCAGGCACGAAGTACGGCAAGGATGACGACCACATCGCACAGATTATCGAGCTGTTGGGCCCGTTCCCCAAGTCTCTCTGCCTATCAGGGAAGTGGTCCCAGGAGATCTTCAACCGCAAGGGAGAGTTGCGCAACATTCACCGCTTGCGCCACTGGGCACTCCCTGACGTGCTACGGGAAAAGTATCACTTCAGCGTAGAGGAGAGCATGCGCATCAGCGAGTTCCTCCTTCCGATGCTCGAAGTCTCTCCCGAAAGACGAGCCAACGCTGGCGGTATGGCTGCCCATGAATGGATGAAGGACACGCTCGGCATGGAGGCGGTAGACCTGGGCGTTTCCCCTGGGAGTCGAGGCGAGGGGATTGACGGATGGGCGACCGAGGTTAAACGGAGATAAAGGCAAGAGGAAAAGACCCACGAAAAGCAAGTTAGGAATGAGAGAGGACCCGTGATATCTGTGTGCATCACGGAGTCAGGCGACGAGTTTCCTTTGGGTATGATTTCGAGAGGCGGATCTTTTATATTCTATATTTTTTGGTTTCTTACTGGCCCGTTTGACTGGATGTTTTATGATTGCCCTGAACATGATTGATTGCATGGTCGTCTACTGTGCCGGTCCCCCTACAGACCCTCTTTACACTTTTTTTTTTTCTTTTCGCTTCAAATATTCTACCCTCATAGAAGTCCATCTTGCTACCACACTATGACAGTTTATTTGACCGACGGGTTCGTTGCTACTACGACTGGTTGCTATGGTCTTACGGGATACACCTCTATTTGAGCAACAGACCTACAATACTATTCTACCCCGAAGGCAGTAGGAGTAGCAATAACATCAAACAAACAACTCATTTCCACTCCTATCCCTATCACTACGTCCCGCCTCCTCTTCCCCTCCCCTCTCACCTTCCCCATCTCCTCCATCCGACTCCAACCCTTCCTCACTCGGCAACACATCAGGAAACCACCCAAACCGCCCAAAATCCACATAATACTCCCCCATACTATCCACCTCCACCTCCACGCCCTCCGCTCGCAGCACTTCCGCCTGCCGCTCTGCACTCCCTGGCCCACTGTCCGCACCAAACAACATCAGCACAAAGAACGCTGCTTCACGAACTGGCATTGTACAGGTACAGGCCAGAGCACAACGGGGTTAAAGAAAAGGCATACCGATGCGAAATCATCCCCTTGGAATTGATCACGCGCTGCCACGGGACGTTCCCGGAGTGGAAGAATGGCGCTGCGGCGGCTTCTGCGTCGGCCTCTGTCTCTGGATTTGAAGGCGCAGAGGGCAGGTGTTTGAGGCTTACGCCTACTTGGCGGGGGCGTTTGGCTGTTTCAAACCTGGGGTTAGTTCGGTCTCCACAACCCTAGGGAAGGAAAGAAAAGGCTTTAAAGGGTGTGAAGAAGATAGACAGGCACTAGCACTGCATGCATAATACATACGATATCCCAGGAGGCAGGCGATGTGGCCGTAGGAGGTGACTCGGCCGCGGGGGATCTCTTGGACCGCTTCGTAGACGGCGTTGATCCACCATTCTGCTTCGTCGGTGCGGGGCATTTTCCTTTACTTTTGGTGTAGTTAGAGCTATCTGAGCGCGGATTCTATGGTGAAAGGAGAGGGGGAGTTCGCGGATTGATTATAAACTGAGTGCTGCATTGATAGATCTAGATGCATTGCACTGTATGGGTGGAGGAGGGTGAAAGTTTGGTATTGTATTTTACAGCGGAGCAATAGATTACCGGCAGAACTGATCCTCCGAGCTTCCAGTTTAGACTGGGCTGGGAGCTTCCTTGAGTTTACTCGTTACCTGCACTATACATTTTAGTTTCGAAACACTACACTACCTTCCTCTACCATCTTTCCTTAGCCACGTCTATCCACCTCTACTACTTGTTTCTACGATCGCTCCACGTCTCACGAGACCTACCTTCCACAGAAGAAAACACACTACAATGCCCTCCTCCTCGCTAGCAGACTACCTCGCCAAAAACTACCTGACCGCCGACCCGGCCCCGACCGACCGCCCCAAGAAGAAACGCAAGAAGACGACAACCCACAAACCCGAAGAATCCGGCCTCATCATCGCCGATGACGACCCTCCAGATCTCCGCGCCGCCTCCGGCGTCCGGGATCTAGACGATGACGAATACAACCCGGCGATCGTGTCGGGCGCCCGCGGCGGGGGCGCCGGCGGGGAGTTCCGGCGGGCGAAGAAATCCGGGTGGAAGACGATTGGCGGCGCGGATGCGGAGAAGGATGCGGCGGATGCGATATTGGCGTCTGCGGCGGCGGAACGGAAGGCCGGGCGCGGCGGGGATGATGAGGATGAGGATGAGGTGCCGGTTGTTGCAGATGAGGATGAAGATGATTACGATGGGATGAGGATGGAATCTGGGGCGCGAGCGGGGTTGCAGACGGCGGCGGATACAGCGGCCATGGTGGCGGCGCAGGAGCGGAGGAAGAAGCTGGAGGCCGCGCGGTATAAGGGCAGTGCGGTGGCCGCTGGGGAACAGGCGCAGGAGACGATCTACCGTGATGCGTCCGGGCGCATCATCAATGTGGCGCTGAAGCGGGCGGAGGCGCGCCGGGCGGAGGAGGAGAAGAAGCTCAAGGAGGAAGAGGCGCGCGAGGCGCTCATGGGCGATGTGCAGCGGCAGCAGCGGGAGGAGAGGCGGCAGCAGCTACAGGAGGCCAAGGCGATGCCGCTGGCGCGCACGGCCGAGGACGACGAGCTGAACGACGAGCTCAAGGCGCGCCAGCGCTGGAATGACCCCGCCGCGCAGTTCTTGACCAAGACCGCCGGGCCCGGCACCAGTGTGACGGGGAAGCCCTTGTACAAGGGGGCGTTCCAGCCGAATCGCTATGGGATCCGGCCGGGCCATCGGTGGGATGGCGTGGATCGGAGTAATGGGTTCGAGAAGGAGTGGTTTGCGGCCAGGAATCGGAAGGGGAGGCTGGAGGCGCTGGATTACGAGTGGCAGATGGACGCGTAACTGGTTTTCTGGAGAGTGGTGTGTGGGGTGTGTGGTGTGGTTCAGATACCTATGACTCTGCTATGACTTTTGTTACACGGATCCAGTGCTGGACACTGGCAATGATGACATTGATAATTACCCAATATGGACCCGGCGTGATTTGGGAACAGTTTCCGTGCATGTTCCTGGCGCTTCGCAAGTATGAGTATCATCACATCCAGTTCTGTTCGATGGAAAGTATCTCCGTCGTAGGGAGGCGGCGAGTGGAGGAATTGTAAACCCGCCAGTTGACATACTCGCTGATGTCATGCCTGCCTGTGCCGGTGACCGCCATGACCTCCACGCCTAAGCCTCCCACTCCTCCTCTTTACTCCTCCCCCAGCCATGACTTGACGATCAACCATCGAGTCACCCGCCGCGCTAACGGAATTCCGATCAGCGACAGGGAAGACGTGCAGCTGATGACTCGCTTGATACGCTTGATGGGATCACGTTCACCAGAACTGTGGCTGATAAGCGTCATCACCTGGGTTTCAGTCATTCCCCGTGAGCACGGTGGTCTCCCTTATTCGTCCACCGCAAAGCCTGGACTGGCACATACTGTGTACTATACATACTGTACAGTACTTATACTGTCAATCCTTGCGTGGAGAACAACAACTGATAATCATCATCCTGCCATGCCTCAGCAAGTAAACGTCCAGATACGCCAACGTGCCTGGAACTAGTGGATCGGATTGACAACCCATCTTTGGTTCCAAACGTCTCAAAAATCTCAATAGTTCTTTTAACCTCGGGATAAGGAACAGTGGAGGGGAAGATAAACCATGGTTGGGGCAGTGGCGCTCGGAGGATCGGCAAACTGCGATAACGAACAATCCAGGAGAGGGCGCCGGCCACTCGTTCTCGCTCACTTTATCCCCCCATGGTATTCTCGATAACGATCTTGTTCTTGCCTCGAAAAAGTAAAACCCCTTTTGGAAGATGGTCAATAGGCAGGATTCCAAGTGCTCGTTCATAAATAGCATAAATAGAAATAGAATGAATGAATGATATCCAACAGATGACCTATCATCCGGCCATCAGCTCCCCATCTTTGTCCTGTACCCCGTGCTACCATTTTCGTATCTGACTGATTGCAACGAACTAACTACGAAGGTACCGATAGTAGTAACCCTTCAGGAGGCTATTATTGAGCATCCTCCATTTCAGGGAATGACTACTAGCCCATCCCCTCCTCACCAGGTTGTCACTTCCTTCTCTACTTTCCTTTACGCCTCCATCTCACTTGCAGTGAGGTTTGTCCCCCTTGGATTGCGCCATTTGCCGCCTTGACCAATATCCGGATCGCTGATGACTGGAAACCAGCCGGGTTTCTTTATGACTCAGACCAAGGACGCCTTGTAGCCACGGTCATTGTTTATCGGACTTCTTTGGTTCGTGGTTCATTACTCAGACTCAGGACCCTTCCTTTTCGCGCCCTTACGCCAGCCAGCCTTGTTTCCCTGGCTTTATATCCCTTCACTCCGCAACCCCATCACTTGGAGCTCGTCCAGGCAACCACCACTCATTCCTCCTCCGAAGCGTGTACTACGCGTCTCCTCAGACCCAGTCACAGCTCGTCCATCATACCATACAGCCCGACAAACAACGTGTAACTCCGTTGACCGTCATGTCCGAATCCCTGCTTGATATGCGTCGGGCGGATAAGGAGGCGAAGCGCGCTCACGACCACAAGGCGAAATGGGCTTACGGTAGTCGACGTGCTCGTACGGTTCCTGACCCCCTCTCGTCCGTCCTTCCTCCTGCGCGCCCAGCGATGCCGATCACCCATAGCATGAAGTAAGGCCCCGTCTCCCGTGGTTGCCTAGTCTATTGCAAATCTGACCGAGGTGGAATAGCTTCACACGTGCCCTGCGGTTCGATCGCAAGAGCCAGTCCAACCACCTGGCCAGCGATGCGAAGATAGCCCTTCGCGCCGATGTCCGGGAGGCTCTCGAGAGTGGTCCGTCCGACTCTTCTGGGGATGATGTCGCCGCCCCGGGATCCGTCAGTCGAATCCAAGAGGAGCTCGAGGACAAGGATAGCCCCCTGCTCGGCTATGACGTTTCGGGGCAGACTATACTCTCGGACGCGGTGAGCAAGGCGGTTGAGAAGTTTGAGATCAAGGAGACAGAGAAGATCATCAAGACGTATGAGATAATCTCTCACGAGAGCGAGACGGCTATCGGCTATCTGGCTGATGACGATGACTTCGAACTGGTGGACCACGTCCATCCTTGAGTTCTGGTTTTTACACTCTCTTACTGTTTTTCTAGCGTCATGACCTTTTCGGATTGGAGTTGGGAATCGATGACTTGGCTGTATTCTTCTGCGTTGAACTTTCGGTTGACTGTATCATCATCATTCATGCTGCATGTCTCCGTGCTTGGTATTCACTCTGGACGTGCTGGGGCAAGCCTGAGGTCTATTCTTGTTTTTAATCAGCACATTGTTATTATCATCAGGCTCGGTCCTAGTTTATTAGTTTAGTATTGCTTTAGACAGTACATTAGAGCACGTATATAATCTTGATTTTCTTGGTGGCTTTGACTTGAGGTATAGAGTGTAGAATGAGGGGTGCGGGGAAGGTTTAGTGTGCAGCGCGCGGTCGCGATTAACCAACCCATTGCAGGGGCTGGAGGCGAGAAAGTGGAGGCTTCCCGCATCGTCGCCGTTATCGCCTGCAATACAGCTGTCCAATTTGATTGACATGCTCTAGATAATTTATGAGATAATACTCAGTACCTTGACTGGCAAGGGATCGAGACCATAGTACTAGTAAAAAGAATGTAAGGTGATGGCCAGTCAGTAGCTCAAGCCCACCCGACCGCGCTCCTGCAGACATGCATATGCAATCACCACAACGTCGAAATCCTCCCTACAGCCCCTTCGGATGCAACAGCTTGTCAACCACGAAGCACTTTTTGTCAAGTTGACATCCTTGTCATCAGAACTATCATAAAGGGAAACAATTTTCCCCATTGTCGGGGTCTGAGGCGGGTAGTCGCCACCAAGCGTTGCTCGGCGGAGAGCCTGGATTGTTTACCAAAACAAAAAAAAAAAAGGAACCAAGAAGCGGAAAAAAGTCCATCTGCATCTGGCCGCCCTCCGACCCTCTCTCCCCCTTCACCGTCCTCAGACAACCCCAACTTAAATCCTCACCACTACCTTCCTTCCTCCATCCCTCTTGGCACTGATTACTACTTTCTCTCCGACAAAATGGAGCCGCGAACGGCGGAAAGTCCGATGGACTTCGAGTGGCAGTCCAAACCTCCCGGAGATGTGACGTCGCCTTTTTACCAGGTCGGCATGAAGCATGACAACCAACGAAAACGTGCGTCCATCAACTTTGATCGTCATAGTTACTTTCAGGAAGAGAGCTTTCCGGAAGCTGATTATGCCAGCAGGCCCTCACAGTATTTTCGACTCCCCTGGAAAGAAGTCCTTACCTGCCCTCCGAGAGCCGAATTCGCAGCCCTACCTCTTTTCTCAACCTAGAACCCAGCAGCCACCAGGCACCCCTAAGCCCGCCTTCAGCCACGCAGCTTTCATGACCCCTCGCAAATTCGATGTCGACTTCTCCTCCGGCGCCGAAAACATGTCCTCCCCCGAGCACGCCGACAACGAAGACACTCCCGATCAACCTACGAAGTCAGGACACCGCAACTCGTTGTACAGCATGTACGGTCGGTTTGCGCCTAGCCCCGGACGCGGAGAAATCCCTCGCGTGAGCCACTACTCGAACGCACTGGCGCGACGTGTTCAGAAGAGACGTCGCAGGGACAAGGCGCTAGATGTACAGTTGAAGAAGGAGGACAGTGATGACGAGAGTGACAATCCGGATGCGGGACCTCTGAAGAGTACAAAGACACGGCAAGACCAAACACAGCCGGAAGGCCAATCTGGATCGCGTTTGGCCTCGTTCTCCGACTTCTTTGCCCTACTGGAAGCACACCCAAATATCCCGAGCATTCTCTCGTGGTGGGCGCAGTTGGTGGTGAACCTTTCGTTATTCTCGCTTGCTGTCTACGTGGTTTTTGGCTTCGTTTCTGCTATCCGCGCCGAGTTTGATCAGGCGGCTGAAGAGGTGTCGGACACAATTCTAGCGGAGATGGCGGCGTGTGCGAAGAGCTACGTGGACAATCGATGCGCCGGCGGCGATCGCCTTCCAGCGCTGGAGACCGTGTGTGAGAATTGGGAACGGTGCATGAATCGGGACCCGGCCAAGGTTGGCCGTGCCAAAGTGTCGGCGCATACGATGGCAGTGATCATCAACAGCTTTATTGATCCTATCAGTTGGAAAGCGATTGTATGGATCCATATACTCCCTTGCTTGGCTACATAGCTAACATCATCTCAGTTGTTCTTCCTAGCTACGATTTCGACCGTCACCGTTGTCAGTAACTGGTCCTTCCGATCCTTCCGCAACCGCTACAATCAACATGATTACTCTCATCCTGCCCCAGCTTTCACCAGACAGGCCTCCGGTCAGCACCATCCGCCGATTGCTCAATCGCAATACTCCTACCAGCATGACCCAGGTTACGGGTACATGGGCCCTCAGGGTCAGGGGTCAGCCTCCGGCTTTGAAAAACAGGATGCACCCCTGCTTCTGGAACAACCGCAAGGAAAGGAATTTGCGACCGAACGGGGCCGTAGCCGGGATACCCGCTTACGCACCCCAAGTCCCGTCAAACGATTGCTGTGAGCTGTTTATTAGCTTGTCACCCTCGGCTTCCTCATGTGGCCTTATGTGGTTGTATCTTAGGTTTTTCTCTTAATTGCATCTGCCGGTGGCAACGGAGTTCGAGCTGTTATCGGTAGCAAAACAATATGTTAGGTGTTCAGTGCATGTGTCCCGGCTGGGCCTGGAGTTTGGATAAGGAGATTGTGTACATATCTGATGTGTTTGAACCGTGATCCAATATAATTTGTATTTTACCAAGTGGTGAATTAAACACCAACGTTGTGGTCATTGACTGGGGTGTTCCAGACATAGTAGCAAATGACAGCCGTATGACGTCAGCGTCTCAAGCCATCAGCAGCTTCGCCGGTGAAGTGAATTGGGATGAAGACTGGCACCTGCATCAACCACCCAACGTTCAGCTTTCTTTCACAATCGGGAGATCACCATGACATTTACTGCATATCCAATAGGTGATTGGTTGTGTGCATCTCCCAAGGGTGTTGCCGAGACATTAGCTGATGCCAAACCGCAAGGCTAACTGAGAGTCAAGTCCGTGCCTCCGTGCCTTCATTCTGACGTATTGCATACTACATCTGTACATCAAACTATATCAACCTTATCTACTATCCTATCTCCTTTTTGACATCGTGTCACCATCGTTCAGATCGGTTTGCCGAGAGCAGCTGTATCACATACCACATTGCCATTTCTCAGCTATTCCAATCCACTCACTCGTGTGTCCATCATGGCGCGCAGAGAAAGCACCAAGCAGAACCTCTTCGTCGTCTCCAACCGTCTCCCCTTGTCGGTCAAGAAAGCTGATGACGGCTCCTACCAATCCTCCCTGTCCGGCGGCGGCCTGGTCACTTCGCTGTCGGGACTCACCAAAACCACCCAATTCAGCTGGTTCGGCTGGCCAGGCCTCGACGTCGCCGAAGAGAAGGACCGGGAGTCGCTTCGCAAGAGCCTGGATGAACACAATGCGATTCCGATCTTCCTAGATGATGAGTTGGCGCACGACCACTACAACAACTTCTCCAGTAGGTCGCACTTTGACTCGTGTGTCCCTTCCCTATATGAATCCAAGTCAGGCTAACCCGTTCTACAGACTCAATCCTCTGGCCTAGTCTACACTACCAATCTGGTGTCTCCTTCGAAGAAGGCCCCTGGGAGTCGTACAAACGTGTCAACGAGATCTTTGCCGACACGATCGCCGAGCGAGCCCTCCCGGGTACCCTGATCTGGGTCCACGACTATCATCTCATGCTTCTGCCTCGGCTGCTGCGCGACCGGCTGAAGGACAAGAACTGCGCGATCGGGTTCTCCCTGCACACCCCCTTCCCTGCGGGCGATTGGTGGAGAAGTCTGCCGGTGCAGAAGGATCTGCTGGACGGGATGCTTGCCAGTGATGTGATCGGGTTCCATACGGAGGAGTACAAGCAGAACATGGTTCTTTCTGCCGGGACACTGTAGGTTTTCTGTTCTGTGTCTAACCCCTCTTCCTGCTTACTGGAAAAAGCCACCTGAGCTAGTGCTGACACTTTCTGTGTGGCAGGGGCGCAAAAACCGATACCTCCGGACAAATCGAGTACAGAGGTCGAAAGGTGGTGGTGGAGAAATTCATTGTCGGGATCGATCCGCAGAAGTTCGCGGACTCGCAGGCGAACGAAGATGTGCAGAAACGGATCAAGGAGCTGCAGGAACGGTACAAGGGCATGAAGATCATTATTGGGGTGGATCGGCTGGACCACATCAAGGGGCTTACACAGAAGCTTAAGGCGTACGACGCGTTCCTGGACCAGCATCCGGAGCTCAACAACAAGGTCGTTTTGATTCAAGTGGCCGTGCCGAGTCGTGAAGATGTCAAGGAGTATCAGGATTTGGAGGCGGAGATCAGCACCATTGCGGGAAGGATCAACGGAAAGCACTGTGAGTGAACTGCTTCACGAGCATCTGGGGGTCCTAGCTAACCGTCTCTTTCTTGCAGCAACGGCCGACGGGTGTCCGCTGATCTACATGCACCGATCGGTCAACTTCAGCGAGCTGACGGCATTGTACTCTGTCGCAGACGCGTGTTTGCTCACATCTACGCGCGACGGTATGAACTTGGTTTCGTTCGAATACGTGGCGTGCCAGGCGCAACGGCACGGTGTGCTGGTCCTGTCGGAGTTTGCTGGAGCGGCGTCGTTCATGAAAGAGGGCTGTCTGACCTTCCACCCCGCAAATATGGCGGAAATGGTCGATGCACTTTACAAGGCTGTCACCATGGGCGAGGAGGACCGAGAGAAGAACTACGAGACTTTGCGAAAGTTTATCGAGACGAACACTAGGTGAGTGTCTTTGATTCGGTTCGTGGTCATGACGTTTACTGATCGATGGTTTGATAGTGCGAAATGGGGAGAGACCTTTATTGACACGCTGTATGGACGCTTGAGAAGCTCGTGAGAGTCAATCCGAACAGGACGAGGATTAATTGAGTTACATGACACGTTAATACACACGTAATGAGGTGCGGTGATGTTGTATGTACAGAGCGAAACATAATTTTCTTTCGCCCAGAGCATGTGATCGGCCGATATCCATGCCAAGTCTGCGCATATGCTTTCTTTTCCTTCGCTTGTACGAGCGAAAGCTTGTCCCTCCGTGCTTGTAGAATGTCCTTCTTGCTTGTTGCTATAGGGTTTCGGAGCTGGGAGCATGGAAGGTCTTTAGACAGGGGTCAGCGAGAGCAAGGCCCAGATAACGTACCTAGGTGAACTTTTCTCTGACCAAACTTCGGTATCAAGGCGACAAGTTGCTTGTGATAGCACCTTACCTACCGGTCTACTTCGACTGCTGACACTCTGTATCGCCAAACATTCTTCTGAGAAAGTACCCAAAGAGATAGACACCGATCGATTTCTCTAATGGCTCCTGTCTACGTATATGAGACCGTGCTTACAATAGCTTCCTTCTGAGGCAGGGCCATCTGATAGTGTTAGCAAGAACTCTACCCATGCGTCAAAAACAGGACATTGATAACAGTCAGACCGTGGAAGATCACTGTACGCTTTGCCATTGACCACAACGCCGACCCAAGTCAACCATGGAATATTCTCAGTGCACAAGCATTCTGCCTGGGAATTGACGAATCGGTCGGCTGTTTCCGCATCGGTTGAGCCCCGGGATCCCTCCTGCTGTTCTACGGTTCGGTGCTCGAGTAAGCTCTCCCCGGAGTTTATTTACCTTGATTTCCTTGCCTCGGGGCACACAGGTCTCCCAACCTTCTACATCCGCCCCTGAAACTAAACCTGATTCCTCTCGGTCCAGGTCATCGCCGAGTCGGCGATGTCCTTAAATGGTTGCCACAGACGAAAACGACCTTGTAACCGGGTCTGGGATGGACGGGTCACCGCTGGTTCTGAGCCAGGCTATTGTGCTACCGTGAGCAGAGGGAAGTATATATTCGCGCTGGATCTTGTGCTGATGAAAAAAATGGACAACCCACTAGTTTCAGTATACTAAATCATGTTGGACTCTATCTCTTACGGTCACAATAGGATGGCCCATTTCAAGTGGCTTCTTGTCGGTGCCTTTGCTACGCTGGCCGTAGCGAACCCCCTGCCTGCTCCGGAGGCCAACCAGCTTGAGACTCGTCAAACTGGGATAAATGCGAATGATATCATGGGCGGAACTTGCAAGGATTTCACCTTGATCTTTGTGCGTGGATCATGGGAAGTGGGCAATATGGTGAGCCAAATTCTCTTCAAATCTCTTCGCCACTGCTTCCCATCACCATCACGTCTCTTCTTTGATTAACACCAACATAGGGTCTAGTCATCGGACCGCCCCTTTGCTCCACCCTGAAAGAGCAGATCAGTCCCAATCGAGTTGCCTGCCAAGGTGTCGACGGCATGTACAGCGCTGACTTCCCTCAAAACTTCCTTTCCCCGAACACGGATGCGAAATCTATCGCGTCCGCGGCCACCATGCTCGAGTTGGCGACTACCAAGTGTCCGAAGACCCAGGTTGTAGCGGGTGGGTATAGGTATACGCCGCTCTCTTTCCCCCGGTTCCCAACTATTCCGGAGCCGAGTGCTCACCTTCCTGCCCTTCTTGCTGCCCCCCTATCTCCCACCCCCCATAAGTCAACGGCTAACAACTGGGGGATCAACAGCCAAGGAAGTGCCGTCATCGACTACGCCATCCAGGAAGTCAAGCACGAGGTCCGCAACAAGATCAAGGGAGTGGTGCTGTTCGGGTACACGCGCAACATCCAGGACCGCGGTGGGATCCCGGGCTACCCGCAGGACCGAACCAAGGTGTATTGCGCCCCGGGCGATGTGGTGTGTGACGATATTTTGGTTGTTACGCCGCCTCATGAAACGTACGGGTTGTATGCGAAAGATGCGGCAGAGTTTCTAGCCTCGAAAGTGAATCAATCCAACTAGGGGGGGGGGGCTGTGAGTATAATAAAATGGTAGTGTGAGTTAAGGTTTGGACTTGATTTTCTCCCAAGGTTCAGATAGATTGTTGCTTTCTTCCTCATAGAATGAAGGGACTGAATGTGGGCGTTAGAGCTTCGTCTAGGCAGATTGTATGCGTGCTGATTTGGTTGCAATCATATAGTATGGACATCACGTTATCATTGTCGTGTAGACTGGTCCCTCTATGATATCTCTGATTTCAAACTACACCTCCCATCCCACAACTGAGTCCTTACTCGGGATAGCACTGCACCGCCCGCGCCGGATTTAATAGTTTGATGAAGGTAGCCTCCGTCGAAATCGTTCCCACGACATCCCGACAGGGTAGCCTAGTATACACTTCTGTCAGCCCATATCCCCCCGACCAACACCATTCTCATAACTCAGCTGTACCCGTCACCCAGTGATCTTAATCACAGCACAGCAAGAGAACAAAGTAACATACCCAAGAAGATAACATTCAACTTCGACCGGAGGCTCCGGCGGTAACAATGTCGCGTTATACGCCCTTGCCGGCTCATCAGCCAGATTCCTTCCCCGAGAGGAGACGCCGAAAGCGACCAGGAATACGGAGTGAGAGGAACCTACGTCAGAGGGAGATCCGTACATGTGGCTGGCACCACGGACCGGTTGCCGATGGGGACTTGCACGTAGGCCGTGGAGTCGGGGATCCCCAGCGTGGAGCCGTAAAAACTTACTTCCTTTGTGGGGTTTGACGTTAGAGATGGCTTTCAACTGAAGGAGTAGGGGCAGGGGTCAGGAATAGGGGGCGATACGAGTTCAACGAAGTTGGTGGCCGCGAGGACGAGAGGTGCGGGGATTGGTAGCAGGAGGAGCGGAGATAGTGGGAGGATGGTGGTGCTGGGTTTCATGGTTGGAGTTTGGATAATAGCATTTAACTTGATGGAAGGTTTGTCAGTCTGGAGCTTGGATGGGAATTGGAGGTTGAGAGTTGCTGCGTAGGGGCTTATTATGTATGCGCTGCTTGGGGAGGAGCTATATGGTATCGGTGATATAGCTTTGTCTGAAGAGTGGATGGCAGAGCAGGGGTCAAGTGTAAGTCCATCTGGTTAGTGCTTATCAGGGCACTAAGAATATCTACGCTACCACTATGTATGTCTCAGAATCTGAGGTCATAGTATATTGAGATATGATTCAGAGCAGATATCAAGTATTTTCTTTGTTACGCTTGCTTTTATGCAAAAGATTGATTGACTCGGGACTCAGTCTGCGCCACCCTATGCAGGATACTATTCCCCTCGGCATGTTTCCGCATATTCACCTTCGAGCCCATACTATGCTGCAGATTGAATCTCCTACCCAAACATGAGAACACTGATTGGATCGATCAGTCCTGAGGAACCCCCCCCCCTCTCCGGATATACCCCACTTCTTCACCCCCACATCCGTATCTCCGCCATCGGCAGCCAGCATCGGGATCGCGATCGCGATTGCCGAGTTCGATCCCCCGCAGAACCAAAACCGAAGCTGCCATCGTGGGATATCTTTTACCTCTACTCCCCTTCTTCCTGCTCTACACTCATATATACACAACCTCCCGCAAAGAACCCCTCTCATCGTCAGCAACCAAGAAAACATGACACCCATCCTTAGAACGCAAACCGCCGCATGGATCGAGAATCCGCGCCCGCACGCGCAACTGGAATTGCGGCATGATGTGCCCGTTCCCGAGCCGGGGGGAGGAGAGGTGTTGGTTAAGTTGGAGTGTACTGGTTTCTGGTGCGTTCGTCGCCTTTCTCCTCACTGTCTTGCCTTTGGACCAGAGACTCACATCCACTGAAACACGGTAGCCACTCAGATCTGCATTGCATTTACGGGGAGTTGCCGATGAGTGTTAATGTGGTTGGGCATGAGGGGGTGGGGAGGGTGGTGAAGCGTTTGTTTCCTTCTTCTTCTTCTTCTTCTTCTTCTTCTTCTTCTTCTTCTTCTTGACTTTGTGGGGTGTTGTGATACTGTGTGCGAGGATGAGAGGTGGTGAGCTGATCGTGTGTACTGGGCTCTAGTCGGTCCGAATGCCCCGAGGGACATGATGGGGATGCGGGTTGGTGTCAAGTTCGTTCCCTTTGGCCTTGTCTGAGAGGGGTAAGAGAAGTGTTTGATGGACATGCTAACCCTGCTTGTTGTTTCTTTCTAGATGGCTCTGGAGTAGTTGCAAGGATTGTCCGACGTGCAAGGTCCAGTATCCCAATTGTCCGAACCAGAGGAACTCAGGAAGGGTGTGTCGTCCTTACAATATTGCTTTCTTCTAAGGAGGTGAAGGTCTGAAGAGGCTGACGATGTATGGTTCAGAGTGTGCCCGGGACGTTTCAGCGTGAGCTTATGCTTTCCTGCTTCGATTAGCTGGACGAATGACTGATCCAAGGTTCTTGTAGAGTACGTCGTCTCACCCGCCGACTTCGTGTCCCCGATTCCGGAGAACTTAGCGCCGGAGACTGTTGCGCCGTTGCTGTGTGGTATGATTCTTTGCCTCCTGCCGTCTACATGCTTGATCTGCATCTAATGGGTCTACCACCAGCTGGTCTCACCATGTACGGCGCTCTGAACAAGCTATACAAGTACTGCGACAAGGGCGATTGGGTAGTGGTCATGGGTGCCGGCGGAGGACTTGGTCATCTGTATCCCTCCCCATCCTCTCCCCTCCAATCCAGTATATATGGCGTACTAAATACTCCTGGTGGATAGAGGAATCCAAATCGGCAAGGAAATGGGCTACAGGATCATTGCTGTGGATAGGTAAGTGTCTCACTTCCAGTCGAACAATCGATCCCAGCTAACAATCTCACAGCGAATCCAAACGAGACATCTGCATGCAATCCGGCGCAGAGGCATTTGTTGATTTCAGCGACGCCGTATGAGCTCTTACCCTCAGGATCCCCTTCTTTTATGTTGTCGTCCTAAAACTGATAATCCAACTGCAGCCCACAACAAAAATCCAATCCCTGACCGACGGCATCGGCGCCCACGCCGTGATCGTGGTCGTCGGCCTGGAAAAGGCCTACGAGCAGAGCGTGGGGTTCCTCCGGCCCGTCGGCACCTTGGTTTGCGTGGGCCTGCCCCGGCCGGACTACCACCTTCCCATCTCGCCGCTGATGTGCGTGGATCGCGGATACCGAATCGTGGGCAGTGCCGTGGGCACCGAGGACGAGATGCAGGCGCTGCTGCGGATGGCGGCGGCGGGGAAGGTGGTCACCCATGTGACGGTGTTTGAGCTGGAGGATATCAACGAGGTGGCGGGCTTGTTGGGGCGGTTTGAGGTGGAGGGGAGGGCGGTGTTGAGAATTCCTGCTTAGGGGCCGGACTCTATATCCTTATCGTATGGATTGGGCTGGAAAAGATGGGCTGAGATAGGCTTGCTCTTTCTCTCTCTGGAAGTTGGGGATCCTTTGGGGATTATGAGCAGTCTCTTGTCTATATTGAGGTGGGTGCATAAGGGTTCCCATTCCTAACTTTTCTCCCGGCTTTGGTAGAGGACAGGAACGAAGGGAGGATTCGAGTTGATTTATTATCGTGTCATTAACATGCTTGCTGGGAGTCTTGGTTTATGTATATAGGGAATAGAATCTTGATCCCTTCCACCCTCCAGCGTTCTATGTGCATCTGCGTATTCAGAATCTGTACGCTTATGCGAGGTAACGGCCGCGCATGTTGCCCTGGCGCTGGGCGTCGTACTTGAAGCGCATGGTGAGGTACTCTTTGTACCCATCAGCTGTTAGCTCTGTACCTGGCTGAAAGAGCTTGAGTACACAAGGAAGAGAAGCACTCACCCTCAAAGTTGATGCTACCGTCGTGGTTCTCGTCGAACTCCTCAACCTCATCGACGGTCATGGAAAGCCCATCCTTGGAGATGTGGCTGGCGGCCACGGCGAAGGACATGCCCACTGAAGTTGTGGTTAGCCAACCTCTTTTCCGGTAGGCACCAAAGACGGGTAAAGTGGGTAGGTTCAAGACTCACGGCAGCGGTCAGAGGACTAGATGAAGCAGGCACATGATCAGTATCGACAGTCCGCGTAGCACCGGATACAACCCAAACCTACCGCTTCGTCGTACTCTCGCTTCATCTGCTGGAACCAGTCCAGGGAGTAGTAGAGGTTCTATTTCACCGATTTCGTCAGCTTGTCTTGTCTTGTTTCGATACCGAGGGTATCGAGAAATGAGGAAGGGCTGTTCTGTTCACCTTAGGGTCCTGGGCCATTTTGAATGATGGTGTTGCGGGTTTGGAATGGTTTGGAATGAAGACACTGCTGGATGCTCCGTTGGCTGGCTGGCTTGAGATGGAAGAGGGGATCTAGCTGGGTGCTCGAAGGGGTTTATATCCTTTTTTCTTCTGGTCTCTCTCTCATTGCTTGATACTGAGTGTGATTCATTCTCCCTCAGCGTCTTCGAGATGCTCGTTACCCACTTGCCTTGGGCATAGAAAGTGAGGTGTCAGAGGTCGACTGCATGTGCAGAGAGCTGCTTGCTTTCGTGCGTGGCAGGATCCAGTTTGGGCATTTCAGCATACAGCGTACAGCATACAGCATCTGCACGCGTGGGGACACGGTTGAATCCAGGGTGAATGGGAAGCTGGTGCGGGTATACTTCCTAGCAGAGTAGCTGGTGGCCAATCAAGGTTGGAGCTCCGTCAGCCCTATCGCAGTGAGGGAAATGGATTTTCATCTGCGGACTGCGGGGTAGGTGGTAGGTAGATAGGTAGGTAGAGTCTTATCGGGTGGTCGAGCTGTATGCTGCATGTCGAAATGCCCAAGTGACTGGTTGCTGCTGCATCATGTATGGATTGTGAAAGGCCGGGCGGTTGCCTGCGATGAGCGAGAGCTCGAATGTGATTGTCGAGTCAAGAAAGCAGGTGTGAGGAGAGGCGTATGTGGGTGAAGGGAGCGAGAGGAAGGAGTTCGGATTGGATGGTTGGGGGGTTTCTGCCCGCGCAAGAAGCATGTCTATCTTAAGCGCGGTTGTATTAGTGTAAAATCAATCGAGTCCACTCAGCAGCAACAGGTCCTGTATCCCAGCATCGTCATCTTCTCGCTTTTTTGGTGTTTTCCAAGAAGGAAATCTAGTCATTCTCGAGTCGTTCTTAGTCAAGATTGCTATCCTACCTCAACCTCAGCAAAAAGACCACCCACAGTGCAGTAAGAAACACTTACCCATCTACCCTCGTATCTCACCGCAGTAGCAACTTGCACCTCCCGCACAGTACAGTTCCCGCTCCATCTTCTGCATGATATCCCGGCGGCCGTTGCGCGTATCATATCGATCCAAACTGCTGGTTGGGGATGTCGGAAGCTGCAATGCAAAGCCCCGAAACAGAGCTCGGGAGCGATCGTCAATTTCTCTTTCCCAACCGAGAATACGAGGGGCAAGATGAACACGGTGAACACGGGAAACAGTGGTGAACGTGGAACGGAGGAGGGACGAAGATGCAGCTGCAGGCAGGCTGCATGCAAGGCACTCTCGGTCGAGTTTAGTTTGCTTTTCGCCCTAGCCGCTGCTGCTGGGCTCCGCTCCACCTCGCATGATAAGGCTGCCACATTTTTTCCCGTTGTACGCGCTGGCAAGAAATTCTGGCATCCTCCAATGCTCACGCTGGACAATGATATGTATGATGCTTGGATGGTGGGGGAGAGGCAGAGAAAGAAAGAAAAATGCCGCATGGGAGGAGGGGAAGGTGACAGCTCAGAGGTGGGTGGGTAGGTGGATGTAGGATGGAGGGGTACAGTACATACAGTAGAGTACGACAAATCCTCAGCACTGTTGATTCATTCTACCTTCCAAAATAAGTCCCATGTTTTTGCAATTTATTCCACTATCCCATCATCAGGACCCTCGTTTTCTGGTCACCCCGCCACCAAAACAGTACCGAGTGTTTCTTTCGTCGTCTGATTTACATCTCGATCAGATTCCCTTCCTGTCTGGCAGCCACCATTTCGTCTCTCAGCTCCTCCATTATCATTCCCTCCCTGATCTCCTGCTCGGTGAGCTCTGTCTCGCCGAACTCTTGGTCTATATCCTCGGCCGGACGGGCACCTTCGGCGAGTTGATGGTTCAACCCTCCAACTGGGGCCTCGCACTGGGGACATCGTGCTTCCTCCATGGGCATGCCGCATTCGCCAATAGTGAACTATAAGATGACTACGTTAGCAACGTTGTGGGTAGTACAGAACGGTGGGCAATCAAACAAAAGCAGGGCATTGCACTTCAGCGATGAAAAGACAGAGAAACTTACTGGGTGATTGTTTTGGCAATAGTACCAGTGCCCGGTGCCTGCGAACTGCTCCGCCATTGCTCTGTACACCTGGCGTTTCTCCTCACTGGTCACCAGGGCATAGAACGTCCCCTCATTGATGGTCCTCTGTGCGTCTTTGACGTCTTCCATTAGGTAGCCCAAGAGCTTCGGCGACTTGGTGCACAATCTCTCACAGAACTCCAGGTCATCTTGGGCACGCTGGCGGGTCTTGGTCTCGGTGTCCATCTCGACAGTCTTGCCGAGCGCTCGCATGTTGCTTAACGAAAGCATGGAAAACAGCGCAAAGTAGATCCCGGCTTCAACCCGTTCTTGAAGAAGATTGGCCTTCATGGTGGTCTGCTTCAGCGAAAGACACTTTTCAATCAGGGACTTGATGTGATTGGCTGTGAGCTGAACTAGATTGTTTCGGATGCGGTTATCCACGTTCCGATTGTTGCAAATGTGGTCCCAGTCGCGGAGTACGACCCAGCCGAGTCTAAGGGCGAGGACCTGCCCACGCAGGCCGAAACCGGTTTGTATGACGGATTTATCAGCGAAGGACTTTGCATTCATGGATTCATTTTGTCGTGAAATGGCAGACGCGAGCATGTTGTTCAACTTGCCCAGTGGCTGTTCCGCGGTCGCAACCGACTTAATGAATTCTTTGACCCTTTTGACCAGGGCTAGACCGGCAGCTCGATAAGCTTGTACCGCTCCTCTGGCTTGGTCGGGGGCTTTTGAGACACCAGCCTCGAGGGTCCAATACTTGAGAAACTCAGTCCGTGAATCTTCGACTTGCTTCTCGAAGCGAACAATCTTGTCCGCGAGTTCGGCATGCTGTGCACTGGCAAAAGTGACGAATTTGCGTGTGAACTCGTCCAGCAGAAATCTTTTCAAGATTCGACTGTATCGATTTATGTCTCGGAGCGGGCGGCGGCACTCTGGACAGCCCTTCAGCGCTGACCCGGGCATCATCTCCCAATGAGAAGGCTTGGTGCTGATAATGTCGCCTGTAGACGCATCAATATTGAAGTAATCATTCATACCTAAAAGTCCATCCAAGGAAGCAACAGTATAGAAGTGATTGCATGGAAGGAATATTAGGGGCGACGTGTCCAGGTCAATCTCTTTGTACGTCTTGAACTCCAGAAGGTCAACCTGCTGTTGCAGGACCTCAAGTGGAGCACAGGTTTGACAAAATTGGGACGGTGGACACGGCTCTCCACACATTCCCGGGCACTGATGTCCACACGGCTTCATCCTCTTTTCGCAACGTCGATTGCATGGATTGTTCTCACATGGAACGGCACATGGGAGCTTGCAAGCTTCGCGGTGCTCGCAGCCAGAGTCACATAGCTCTGCGCACGGAGGACACGGCTCCTTGCAGGTCTTGGGGCATCGGCTATGCTTGCAATGGACTTCACACGGACGGCGGCAAGGTAAGCATGCCGTTGCAGGATGGCATACACGATCACAGGAATGCGTGCAATTTGTGAAGCCCTTGCGACAGACACTGATGCATTTACCATGATCAAGGACGATCGCTTCCTTCTTCTGGACCCGACAGGAGGAGCATAACTTCTGACAGCTATGTCCACAAGCTAGTTCCAGACCACACTGAAGAGAGCATTTCAAGGGTTTCCTCCTCTCATGGCATTGCACCTTGAAGCTGTGATCACACCAGGGCAATTTGACGACGAGCTCTGCTGTGCATTGCACAGTATCTAGTTTAGCTATGCGAGAACATTCAACCCTGTCAATCGTATGTCCACAGGGTAGCATGACGTTGCAGACAATTGCGGTACATGGACCACATGGCTCGTAGCACTTCCTCGCGCATGGATGGCCACATCGCCTCATTTTATAGCACTTCTGCAGGCATTTGACTGCTTTATGCTGTTTGGATGAGTGGCATTTAACCACGCATGTATGCCCGCAGTCTAGTCTCAAGCCGCATGTCTCCGCGCAACCACCTTCCGGGGACTTGATGGAGAAGTCATCGGGACACGAGACCTGCATCATATTGTGTGGATGGCGCTCGCAGTCGAGCTCGAGATAAGGTCCAATATTCTCGTTCTTTTCGAACAGGTCAATGACAGCCGACCACATCGGCGCTGTTGATGCCGTGTTTGCATCGCCAATGAGATACATGCCATGTTTTGCACGACTGGGTGCAGAGATATCAGTGACGGTCGTCTAATACTAATTTGATTCTCTCGAACATGCTTACCTTAGTAGAACATTGATGCGGTTCGGTGATTTGAGGAAACCGCAATTCCTGAACCTGTTGCTTCGGACCAGGGAAACAATAACAACGGTTGCCTCCTCGCCCTGAGTTAAACTCATTTGTTAGTATGGTACGCAACATAGTGAAGTGAAGTAAAATGAAAGGTAGTACAGATCTTACGTACCTGGAAATTGTCAACCGTTGACAGTCTCAGAGCGTCGAGCAAGCTACCCTTGCTCACAACACGTTGTCCCTGGAGCCGAATGCTAGGATCATTGGCCGTTTCTGCACGCTCTGCCTCGCCAAGTCCCTCGGCATCTCTCTCACCAATTATAAGGGTCATTTCTTGTTCAAGAATGTCCCTAAGCAATCTCAATTGTCCGACGTATGGTGTCAGAACAGCAATCTCGCCAGGACCATACTTTCCTTGTCTCAGAAGATGCCTTACAAGCGATGTCACCATGTGGGCTTCCCATGTATTAGTCTTGCTATGCATGGGATCGGAGGGGTCGCCGTCATCTTCCGCATTGCGATGGTCAAGCCAAGATAGCCTCTTCTTGAGTCCTGCAACAGCAGGATATATAGTCGTGGAAGGATGATCCTGCAACTTCGGATAGAGCGTTTCGCGAACTAAATGAGCAACCGAGGAATGCATGCGTCGCTGGATACTCAACTGCGTGACAGGGAATCGACGCCCTTCCGTCTGCCCTTCCTCGTCGTCATTGCCCTCAAAATGGCTATTAGCGAGTCGCTCGAACAGTGATTCATCGAGGCCGTACTTTGCCCCTTCGCGGTCATAACTCATAGAGAGCCTGAGGTTACTGATGCGTGGACGGAGTTGAAGATGGTCTCCAATCAGAATGGCATGCTGCACTGATGGCAATAGTGCGGTCAGGACATGAGATTCGAGTATCTCTCCGGCCTCCTCGCAAATCAACACTTTAGCCTGAACGCCACGGATCTGGGACGAGAGATTCGCCAGCATCGTCGTCGTGACACCTATAACGTGGAATCCCTGGAGCATGCGAGCTTCGGCCGCGTGATATACGGCTGTTAAACTTTGCTTCCGTCTGTAGTATGCTTTCACCAAGGACGAGAAGGCCTTCCGAAGTTCATCGAGTGCTCCCTCATGCCAAAAGTCGTACAAGCGCATGCGTTCTGCCGGCGAGAGTGTCCAAACATCGGTCTGCAAGAGTTCTTCGGGAGAACGCGGCCCATCGATCTCCACCCAAACGCTAGCATCATCGCCTTGCGTCCAAAGCCTGAAGGCCTCAACCTCGCTTCGGTCGGGATCGACAGCTGTGATACGGTCTGCTTCAAATGGGAAGCGTTTCTTAACGAACCACAACGTCATCTCCATACCACCAGACTCCATCGATCTACATACTTGTTCGAGTTCCGCTGCAATTTCCTTCACTTTGTCATGGTGGGAATGCCGCTCATTATTGTAAGCGCGGATGAACGGCCCTCGATCAGCCTGTTTGTAGCTATCGATGGATAATGCTTCCAAGTGTGGGAATGCGCTGCGCGGGCCAAGACGCACGATGCTTGTAATGCCTGCATCGAGAAGCCCTTGCAAAAATTGATCAAGTGCGTGGGGGGTGTAACATACACACAATATCGGGCCAAGGTCAAGCAAGTCCCGGTTTGCTGACAGGCACTTGGCAAGCTGTATACCAACGTAGGACTTTCCCGTTCCAGGCGGTCCTTGTATGAGTGCGATTTCGCGGCGGAGGGCCCAGACTAATGCCGTCGCCTGACCCTGATCAAGGCTTGTTGTGTTCGCGAGCTGATCTGATATCCACACCGGATCGTCTTGGAGGGAGAAGGATGGGGTAGGGTCGTCGCTGCTTCGGCTTGTATCAGTTCCATCATCCGCAATCGGTTCTCCAAAAAGGGATGATAGATCCAGAGACTTATGGATATCTAGATAGGCTGGCGGGGGCACGGTAACATATTGTTCCAGGGTATCAATCGACACATTCTGTCTTGTGGCATTACGATCAGGTCGAGGGACAATCCAGGTTGCAAACGGCAGATGCTCTGGGCGTGCATACTGAGCTTGCAAGCATTGTAAGACCCCATCGAATGAGTTCAAAAGCACAGCTGGAAACTCGGCCAACAGAAGCGGCCTTTTGCTGTTTTTCAAGCGGGCAAAGTTGAATACATTTGTGAGCTCTGATTCGTGGAAGTTATTTGTCAGTCTGAGACTGATCGAAGCGCGCGTGGCACTAGCAACCAGACCGCTGACGGGTGTGGGCATATTCTCTCGTGAAGCGGGTGGATTAGAGGTGACATTGAGATCTCTTTTAGCAACTTGCAGGAAAGTCACAGAGACGTTCGTGTGGTCCTCGCCATCGATTAGAGCAAGAACCACTGGGCTCTCTTTCAAGGCTTGGGTGGCTTGCCAATATTGCTTGCGTCGGGCTGGGCTCATGGATTTCAGTCTTGAAGGCTGGTCAAATTCGAGATCGACTTCAATGCCCTTCTTTCCACCCGCTCGAACCTGCCGGACGTTCACCCCAAGATAGATACGCACGGGGGTAGTGTCACTTTTACGAAGAATTCTTCGCTTCAAGCGCCAGTCTGGCTGATGGACGAGGACATCCCAGTTGTTCAAGATCACGCGAATCGAGTCGCGGAGCAAGCCGGCGGTATCCTCACGCAGCAGGCGGAACTGGGTATCGAGAAGCCGGCGGATACCAGTCTCATGTTGATCCAATGTATCGAAGACCGGGTCTCTCGCTGGGAGAAACTCAGCTCTCTCGAGAGAATAGATCTCGGATATCGTTGGGAGTAGGCGGATGTTTGGGATGGAGGCGTGGTCATTGTCGTGTCGAGGCCCATCCGCAGACAGCTCTCCTGGTAGGTCAACTTGAAACTCTTGGGCCTTCGGTAGCATGTGTTGAGCATCGTGATGAAAAGAGATGGCTGGGGAGCGGTTGAGCGACTCTCCCATGGACAATACGTCTTTCAGCTTGATGATGTTGTCATGAACCCACCGCAAGCTATGAGAAGCAACGCCGCTGAAGATATCTTCCTCATTGTAACAGTTGCAAAGACTCTCAACGATAGGCTTGAAAGCAGTTTGGATTGCAGCCTCCTGGTTTAAGGTCATGGTTGTAAGAAAAGCTTTTGCAACAAGCAGCAGTGTTTCCTCAAACCCAAGCATGTCATTGTTCAACGACCTTTCATTGGCAGTGCTTGGTTCAGAGCTCACCCGCAAAACATGTTCTGCCACATGAGTAAAGAACTTAACAGCACGACGGCCACCTGGTCCATAGATCACGTTATAGATGGTTCCCACTTGGCGCTCGAGCGCAACGGATGACAAAACTCTGTCATTCGTGATAAGCTTGAGGAAGAGCACACCGTGAACGTGAAACATCAGACCAAGGACACTATATGACTTGGCAAATTCTGTCTCAACTATCTGTCGAACAACAGCAAGTCCTTCTTCTGTTGCAAGACTGGTGATGAAATCCTGACGTTCATCTGAGCTTCGCTCGATCGTGAACAGCCCCCTCTCAAGAATATCTTTGATCTGTGGCGCTGTAAAGTGTTCCTGAGTCAGTGAAGATAGGATTCGACTAGTTCTCTGGAGTCTAAAGCTTGTAGAAGGTCTGAGGCATTAGCAGAAAGACTTGAAGTGCAGCACTGTCATTCTCGTACCTGGTCTCAATCGGTGCGGCTGGGAGAGTTTGAGCATTTCCGCGCTGCACTCTTCTTACCATAAGTCTTGGTCCACGCTGATGGTTTCCACGATTGTGGTTTTCATTTTGAGGGCTTTCACAATGAGTGCTATGAGGTCCTGTATCTTGATTCTCGGTTCTCTGTGTGCCAGGAGCCTGGTTTGGAGGGACATGATGTCGACCGCGACGAGCTCTACCTGATCCCATGGCTCTTGGAGGACCTGGCGGCGGTTGGCCTGTCCCAGCCATGTTACATGTCCCCTTACTCTTTGAGACTCTGAAAGAAAGAAGTTTGAGTCTGAACTCAGATGATGTTTGGAGAAAAGAATTCGTGTGGGTTAACACGGAATGGATGGGGAGATCAAAATGAACAAACAACAGAGGCGGCAGGTATAGTCAAACAGGAAGGTAAGTTGCTTGGATCGTTATTAGGCAGAAGCAACATCAAATTTTCGATAATTCTTCCCGCGGGGTCACCTATGTTCAGTTCCTCTGACTTTATCCTGATCATACACATTAGGGCAGATTCACTGAGTACCTGCGCACAGACCGCTTCGATATACAAGAAAGTGGGTCCAGGGCTGACAAGGCGGTGAGGCGGTCATGAATGGCAGTTACATGGTGCAAAAACACACCTAAGGTCAACTAACTATTTGCTCATGGTTTAGTAGGCTGTCAATAAATGCGTGTCACTAAGACAAGAGAACAATATCATGATGAGTGGGTCAAGTACTATAGCTCCCAAATGCAGAAGCAACACAAAGAGTCTTCTATTGCTGTCATCTGAAATGGCCATGCACTCAGCGTTGAACTGAAACAAACACATGTGTCGGACCACCTCTTCAATATACCCAGACAAGACTTGGTAGCGACCTCACTTGTAGTGCGCAACAAAGCAGCCTGACTGTGATGTGAAGGCATGTAGACCCAGCAATGAGGTAGCCCGCACCACCTGGAACGATCTCAATAGCGGTATTCGAACTTGCCAGGGCGAGATGGGATGTCTCGTCAGATGAGAAGACATTGCATCAAGCATCTATGCTCTTTTGATATGCAGTGTCGTATAAGATAAGTTTCCTACTTCTCTAGAGGCCAGTAAGCATTGAGTCAAGGTTGAACAACAATTGCAGGCATCTTTGCCATGATCTTCAATGTTCATCACATACCTTGTAAGCATACTCATTCGTGTCTTGGTATCGCTCTTCTGTTTCAAACTACGCACATTTTGTACGAAACCTAGCAGGTTCGTCTTTGAGGATGCTGCGAAATGATCTCTTAAGTATGGCGATCATGGTCACATCAATGTGTACTGCCTCTTAGGGCAAACATGGCTGGATGCCTCTCAGCTCAGCGGAAGATTCAGGACGACAAGCCTCTCCGTCTCATCCAATATTCTATTGCCATAATAGATGCAGCAGAAGCGTATGTTATTCGTTACACAAGCAAGGGCTAGCCATATAGCAACTATGCTCACGCAGCTCACGTTTCATCGAGTCTCGGACCCGTCGTTGGTCAAACACTTTTCGAACTGCGCATATTCCAATTGCAGTATAACGAGATCTTCAGTTGGAGATTGGAGCAGTTGGAGATTGTTTGCGAGATAAAACTTTCAACTGTCGATCTGCTCGGGTTGAAACACCGAATCTTGAACTCAAAATATGGAACCCGTGGGGTGCAGGGGAAGTGGCCCGGCCAGGCTCGTCGATCATGATAAACATAGACTCGAACAAACTATTTTAGAGATCGAACGAGGTGAAAATTGGGTTGGTGATCCGGTGGCTCCTCGAAATTTTCTTATTAGTCAAAACATCTGTTTTGGGGGTGCGATTTATATTCGGCGACAGAGATTTGGTGGTTTGGCATCTGCGTTAGTAGCATCCGCAGCAAAGCTTATCTCTGTTCCAACCCCATTGAGATTCAGTGATCGGGATCACTAAGCTTGTTTCAAAATATGGCTACATTGCCTCGATTCGGACAAGTATCTTGAAGCTGTGTAGGATAAATGATGAAAGGGAATTTTACCTGACGCAGGAGACGTTGGAATTGGGCCCCAGAAATTGTATGTGGCATAGAAAGCTTGCATTCAGGACGGGGGCTCATAAGTCTCTATAGGCGCATGAACAGAAGCTAGGCTCACACGGAACTTCGGGAAAAAAATATCATACCGTTCGGAAGGTACAGTACGTAGTACTTGGGACTGTTAGAAGAAGTGCTAAAGAATTCCCATTACGATTATGCAAATGCAGCTAGGCTGTACCTGGATGTACTGTACATCTTATTTATAAAGATTATCAAAGCAGCGAGAATAGGAAGCAGGGGCCTGATGTGCACATGACACCTCTGGGGTGCTGCCATAGCTCAGCAAGTGGGCGAGTCTCATTCCAAAGCTCCATAGGGCTTTGCTGCCATGCATTTGCCAAATGGTAAGATAAATTGACTCATGTGCCCAAATGTCACGTCATGCTCGCCACCTGGTTCAAGGAATGCATTGGCTGTGCCGAAATAAGCAATAATTGGCCATCCCGTCAAGCATGTCCACTCATGCTATGATGCAGAAAAGGAGTCGGTTTTTCATTCAGGGATCCAACGCAAACATGTGCTTCCCAAGCATCAATCTGTGTAACGTGTAAGTGTACATGAGGCAAGGTGAGACAACAACGTCTGCAGACGAACACCTTGTACAGAAGGTTGTGAGAAATTCTGACTCTCTGCCCAAATTAGCGAGTGTGGTTCGGAGGTACTGGACGAAGAGTAGACAGGTCAGTACATGGACGGAGGGTCTAAGCTACGGAGAATCCCTAGTCTTACTTGGACCCGTGCGGGGTTTTTGATACCTGGAGCTAAAGTAAGTAGGCAAGCATTGCACCTCCATAGTCTGAGCCAAGCGAAGTGAGCAGAATACTACAGAAACAGACACTGCATTCAGATTCTCCTGCATTCTCCTGCCCAGTGGCAAAGTCGGGCCTTCACTGCTTCCGGACCTGCAGATCTCCAGGTCGGTCTTCTTTTCCACTCTTCTGGCGCTCTTTTCCACTCAGGAGTAAAATGGACCTTTGGACGCATAATCAGGCAAAAGCAAAGAGATGCTTGGGGAGGGAGGGATGGGAATTTGTCCAGTCTCCATCCGTGGGTCGGCCGTACTGCCGAATTGAGGGAAAGAGGCGGAAGATCCCTGGTTGAATCCACCCAACGGAAAGCCCCGAATTTGAGCCAGGGAAGGTGCGGGGTAACTTTAGTCCTGGACTCCTGGGTGGACTCCTAGAATCTATTCCTCATACGGAGCACACCACTTTACACCTACCATCATTCCTGGCAGCGATGGTGTCTTACTCTTGACTTCGTCAACTAACTTACCCACTCTCAGACCCTGGGCGAAATTTCTGCGCCATGCACCACCGTATCACTCGCTCCGTCTTTAGGTCGGTTCTCTTAGCCAATGCAACACAAATAAACAAATGAGAATCCGGGGGTGGATCCCCGGCTGGGTCAACACTGGTGGCCGCTAATTGTTGGTTCGTCCACCATTGAACTCAAATCAATTGCTACTCACAACTTGAATGCTACCCACTTTGAAGTAGCTGGGGTCCTACTCCAGCCTCCGAGCAGTACGCGATTCTCTATCCCCCAATCCTTGAGTTGTCTAACTTCCGAATACAGATCGCCGCTGCCGCCATCTTCCGCCAGCCGGACACCCTGGAAAGAGGCAATCAAGATTGTAGCCACTTCGCAGAGCGGGAAATGGGCCTGTCATCAAATCGTTGGTCCAGAACGACCATCACACTGACGATCCTTCCTAGCTTTCCCAGGCACCACCCCCTCTTCGTCCTAAATTGGGTCAATCATGGAGGAGAGCCTTGGTCCTTGCAATGACACGATCCATCGGAGCAGCAAAACCTTCCCCTGGTCGAAATTGGCCTCGGCCCCCGTGCCGTGGTGCACATGTGAGGATGTACATCGGATTTCTCTCTCTATATAAAGGGCTACTCTTGCAGCTTCCTTGACCACCAGCATCGATACATTCTTTAGATCGCCTGTCTCCTCCAGCAATCGGACTTGAGCATTCGTTTGGCCTACACAGTCTAATATCTATTACTCTAATCCACCGTCGTTCTCATCGCCAAAATGAAGTTCACCAGTGTTCTCTTCACTCTCGGCCTGGCCACCAGTGTTTTCGCCAACCCTACTAAGGTTGTCCGTGAGCCCAGCCTCGTTGAGCGTGATGTCGCCGCAGTGACCAGCGTTCTTGCCGACATCGAGACCAAGGTCAAGGCGCTTGATTCTGCCATCAACAGCTACAGCGGTGGAGACCCCTCCAAGGTCGAGTCTGCCTCGAGCGACTTGGTCTCAACTATCAACTCGGGTACCAGCACTGTTACCGGCGGCGACGACCTTAGCTCCACCGATGCTCTTGAAATCCCTGGTCCTGTCCAGGACCTGACCAAGGACGTTCAGACTGCGGTCAACGACCTGATCTCGAAGAAGGACCAATTCGTCTCGGCTGGTGCTGGTGCCACTGTCTACCAGCAGCTCCAGAAGCAGTACACTGCTGCCAAGAGCCTGGCTGACGCCCTCACTTCCAAGGTTCCTGACTCCCTGTCTAGCCTTGCCAGCTCTCTGTCTGCTGGTATCACCGATGCCATCCAGAAGGGTGTCGATGAGTACAAGGATGTCGCCACTAGCTCTGGCACCGCTTCCAGCGCTACTTCCGCTGCCTCTTCCGCCAGTGACAAGACCGCCACCAGCGCTGCTTCTTCCGCCACTGAGAAGAGCGAGACCACCGCTGCCGCTGCGACCACGAGCGACTCTGCTACCACTGGTGCTCAAACCTCGTCTCCCGTGATTCCCACCTCCGCCAGCGCCTCTGCTACCCCCTCCAGCTCCAGCACCCCCTCTGCTTCCGCCAGCTCCACCCTCTTCACTGGCGCTGCCAACTCTGACCGCTTCAGCTACGTCTTCGGCGGTGCTGCTGCCGCTGCTGCCGCCATTGCTGTTGCCTTGTAAGGGGCACCATCGAAGATGGCCCGAGCCTGCAATGGATAAACGATTGTGAAGACCCAAGTGCAACGGTTATCGACAAGTGCGATCATGAAAAGATATGGGCTGGCCATGTATATCTATTCACCGTTGATTGATTTCAGCCCGGGACTGTGGCTTAATGTGTTTGGTTTTTGGTTTGCCTTAGTTTCTGCTGGGTTATTTAATTGGTTGACAAATGTAATATGGTCTCAGTACAACGAAAACACAATGAATTGTTTAAACAAAAAGGAATTCCATAAACGTCCTACCTCTCATTGGCCCCTAGATCATTTTCTGAGCAGAGTAGTATGCTCTTGTGGATCTTCCTCAATGGTTGCCCAAATAGCGGATGATCAGATTCTGCTGCCCACCAGCCCAGCAGAAGCAACCTTCATGTCCGGAGTAAGTTACCCACTATGCCTCATCGACCCTTGTATGGTTGCCTCCCGCCAGAAGCAGCAAGTTACACTCCGATCAACCGCAAAATGTCACCCATTAGCGCGGATCGCCATCCCCTCCCATCACTACTCAGTACCTCGTGCATGCTCGGCTACTAGACGCGGGAAGTCTAAGCCGCCCTGTAGCCCGACCGCTGCAGGAAGCTTTTTGCTTGCTTGCTTGCTTGCCCTCGCGCATTGTATTTCCGAGGGGGAAAAAGTTAGCGGGTCCGTGCAAAAAGTAAACAACCATGGCGTGAGGTACGCGAGGTAAATCACGAGTACATACAGTCCCCAGGAAACTTCACCTGACTAGCTACTACGAGAATATGTCTGACACAGCTTACTAAATCACAGATCAGGCGCCCTATGAAAAGCTTTACATTCATTCACACCACAGCCTGCTAGGATTTACGGGAAATGTAGGACACCGACTTTCATGCAACCACATTGGGCAAACCCCGCGAGGGGAATCGCAAGTAGCAGCATGCTTGATTGATGCCCGCTTGCATCTTGGTACTTTTGGAAGATAGCAAGGACACTCGCCCCCTCGGGGTTTTGGAAAGAAACTCGCGAGGGGGGTTGGTTGCCGGTGCTGGGAGGTCTATACCACTACCGAGTACCGTGGAGGTTGATTTTGGGGGTTGAGATGCTGCCTACCTACATTATAGCAGGATGATCTCGTCTCCAAGAAGGATGGGTTGATGAGGGGAGGAGGAGGAAGAGGAAGAAGAAAGGTAGGGAAGTGGTGGGGCCATTTAATATGGTGGCTGGCAGTGGCAGCTGGAGGGTAAGAACTAGTCGCTTTTTGGGAATAGTGTGAGGGGCAAGAGGGAGCGGAGGGAGCGTAGGGAGCCATCCTTGGCGTGCTCTGATCGGTTGTTGTTTGTGTGACCAATTAGAAGGTCATCGAGGGTTCCAGAAGGGCCATTCCACTGCTCCAGAGACATTCTGTTGTCCAATTACTGCTGCTACGCCAGCTTCGTCCCCGCGACAGCCCCAGCATACCGCGGACTCGTCGCGGAGAAGAACATATTCCCCGCAACCGCCGCCACCATCGCTCGCGCATAGACCAGCTGCGCCGCGGACAACACTCCCGACTGTTCCAGGCGCAGACACTCTGCGCTCATCCGATCTTCTACGTCCCGAATCATTACTCTCAATACCCTCGCAGCTAGAGCGTCATCATACTCATCCCCGCCCATGAGCCCACGCACTACCCTGACAGCATTAAGCACCACCTCCCCGGTCTCCGCTTCCGCCCGGACCTCCTTCGCATACGAATACAGATCATTCGTGAGCAACAAATGCCTCGCGCACAAGGCTTTCAACCGCTCTAACGCCCGAACATCCTCGATCGCAGTCCCGCACGCGAACCGCACCGTCTGGAGAATCAAGTCGGCCCCGAAATCCTCCAATCCATGCGAGAGATACTCCGCCAACGACCCGAACGTCTTCGGCCGCTCGCGCTGCGTAGCTGATCCCCAGGATATGATCTCATCGAGCAATCGCGCTCCCTCGTGAGGGTCCTCCGTTAGTACCTCCTTGGCTAGGATATCGTAGGCAAGGTAGTCCGCTGTGGAGCCTTGTTGATTGTGCGAGACTGCGCTGCGAGGGGGGATACCCTGAGAAGGGGTTTGCGTGTCGACTGCATCGTCATGGAGGAAGAGGAGGACGTAGGTTTTGGCGAGGAGTTGGATCCTGGTGGTGTTGCTTAGCGGGACGAGGTTGACGGTGTAGGATACTGCCGTGTCGATTAGTGTTCTTGTGCGGGCGGTCTCGAGGGTCAGAGGGGTTGAGTGGGAGGTGCTGATGGTTTGCAGGTATGTAGTTGCTGCTGCTTCGGCTTGACGCCAGTGTTTGGACTGGAGAGCGATGGGGAGAGAGGTTGGCCATGGGACGCGGTGGGAGGATGGGTGGATGGGGGTAGCGTGATGGTCTTCTTGAGCTCGTGCGAAGATCTCTGGTCGGATGATTGAGAAAGAAGTCGAGGGTGAGGGCGGAGCTGGCGGTTTGGAGTTTGCAGGATCAAAGGCGTGCGAGATTGGACGGAGTGCTTGTGGTGATGGTGCTGGTGGTGGTGTGGTGTCCAGGCTCTTCTCGGAGGACGTTTGTGTGTGTAGTCGTCTTCGAAACTGTGTGACGATGGTGCTTGCTTGGGTGCTTGTTGCGCGATGCTGTGGTATTTGAGATGTTGGGGAGAGAAGCAGTCTGGGGCTATCGGCATGTCGCGTCAAGCCTCGGAGAAGACGACGCGTCGCCATTGCGCGTTCTTGAGGGCCTTTAGAATTTCGGAATAGTGCACTGTACCTAGTAAGCTTCCTCCGGATTCTCCAACGGCAGTAAAGCGGAAGATAGCGTCGAAGGAACAATCACACCCCAAAGCTGCTATCAAAAGTGATGGACTGTGGAACCGAAACAATGATGTCAGCTAGTCGCTCGAGTCGCGGAGTTCCTTTCCGGTTGTCTCCCACCCGCTTCGGAACTCCGCGTCGCCGCTAACTTCACAGCACCAACAACCATTTCCATGCAAAACCAACATGGCAGGCCCAAGGCCCTCCAAATCAAACAGGCGACGACAGCCGCCTCCTCCTCCGCGGAAAAGGACCTGCAAAGGCTGCACCAAGTCCAAGATTCGTTGCGGTCTCGAAAGACCTACCTGTTCTCAATGCAAGTCTCGCGGGCGCAAGTGCGAATACTCCACTGATCCTGAAACTTCACACCCTACTACTCAGACCGAAGACGTAGCTATGCCCATAGCTTTACCATCTTATTTTGTATTTAACAGCAGCCCCGCAAGCGTTACGTCGAGTCGAGAAAGCAGGCATCGACCGGAGGGGTCACCGAGAGACCAGCAACCGCCTGTCGACTTCACCAAAATCGACCTGGTCCCTGCTTCTGGGGCGGAGAGTATTCGAGATCGCTGGCTTCGGCCATACATTCTCCCACCACCGGAGCGAGACGAGGTTCCGAAGGTGTATCATCAATTTACACTACAGTACATCTCCAGGATCCTGGCCACCTATCCCCGCTTCATGCTGAAGGACCACAACGTACCTCCTATCATTCATCCGTCGCAAGTGTCTGGTGAAAGGCTGCCACAGGCCTTAGCCAACTGCTACAGTCTCGTTCGCATGTGGGAGAATGCTGTTCCAGGAAGTGAAGTCATGGTCATCAACATGATCGAAATGGAGATGGAAAGGTTGTTCAGCGAGGTATGCCTACCGAGGTCTGTTCGTACGTAACGCACATTAATCAAATCCTGATCCCAGCTTCCAAGCCAACACGACTATAGCCTTCTATCCACTTTCCAAGCTTACCTGATCTACTGCGTCATGTTATATTTCTCTCCGCGACCGGCTGCCCCAGCCGCTGTCACCGACAGAGTCATGATCACACTCATGGAACTGGCCTTCCGCACGGCTCGCAATGGCTTCTTCTGCGTGGCCGAAGCATCCCATTCGCGACCTAGCTGGGAGTCGTGGATAGTGGTAGCCTCGAAACGTCGTGCCATCTTTGCCATGTACCTCCTCAGCAGTGTTTACAACGCCGACCAACTCTTGCCAAACTTCATAGCCGACGAAGTCGGGAGTGCTTTTGCTCCAGAGGGCAGATCGTTGTGGGAGGCGCCCGACCGGAAGACGTGGGAACGGGAGTATGACCGTCATTTGTTGACCTGGGAGGATGGGATGCTGGAAATCTCAGAGCTGTGGCGATCCGCGCGTACGGGAACAGTCGAGCAGAGGGAGAGGATTGAGAGGTGGCTGCAGGCTGTGGATGAGTTTGGGATGTTACTGTTCGGAGTCACTACGCATATTCATGGGTGTTGATCTAGTGACGCACATCAACCGCTGACGGCCATACGGGGGCCCCGCCCCTGTCTCGGAACTCCGAGGATGGCCCACCTTACTGATCAGCCACGACTGGGCACCTATATATTGCCATCGTTAACCATTCTCAACCCAGCCTATACACACATTTCCTAGACCATTGACTCAAGCTACAAGGCGCACACCTATCCTCAAGAATGGCATCCACCTACTCGACAAACCACACCCCCAGCGTGCTCCGCACGCACAACTGGCGCACCCTCGCCAACTCCGCGCCGTACCTCCTCCCCCACCTCGATCACCTCCAATCCACCACCCGCAACCTCAAAATCCTGGATATCGGCTGCGGACCAGGTAGCATAACCATCGACCTAGCCCGCCGTCGCCCAACCGCCCAAGTTACAGGCCTGGACTCCTTCGCCGACCCACTCCCCACCGCGCGGCAGCTCGCCGCCGCCGAAGGTCTCACCAACGTCACCTTCGCCGTCGGCGACATCCACGCTCTGGACTTCCCCGACAACACCTTCGACCTCGTGCACGTCCACCAGGTCCTCCAGCACATCGCCGACCCCGTCCAGGCCCTGCGCGAGATGCGCCGCGTGGCCAAGCCCAACGGCGGGATCGTCGCCGCCCGCGAATCCAGCATCCACACCTGGTACCCGGCGAACCGCGGGATCGAGCTCTGGGACCGTCTGACCCGGGCGCTGGCGCAGCGCAGCGGCGGGAACCCGCACCCCGGGGCGAGGATCCACGTGTGGGCGGAGGCGGCGGGCTTCGCGCAGACGCAGATCCGGAAGAGCACGGGCAGCTGGTGTTTCAGTTCGGCGGAGGAGCGCGAGTATTGGGGCGGCTCCATGGCGGAGCGAGCGCGCCACTCGGGGTTCGCGGACCGGGCGGTGGAGAGTGGGCTGGCGACGAGGGAGGAGCTGGCGGTGGTGGTGGACGGGTGGCGGGAGTTTGTGGCGTGTGAGCAGGGGTGGTATGGGATGCTGCATGGGGAGATTGTTTGTTTCAAGTGAGTTCTGTGGTATGTTGCTGGCTATGTCGGTCCTTGGCTTCGATGAATGGGTATCAGGGAGTGCATGCCACTTGGCTTGCAATGAGGATTTCTCAGTCCTCCGTTCGATATATACAAACTAGTACAAATAGATCGCCATCCACTAAATGCATATACGCATCCAGTGTAGTCACGCACATAAAGTTGGCCGAGAGCAAAAGCAGTATGGATGGATCATCATCCGCCACACAGCGACAGCCAATGCATACAGTGAGACCGAAAGGAAAGGCCCGACGTATGGCTGTTTATCCCCAGCACAGCCCAGCTTCAGTCTCCATGTACGCAAATCCAATATCAGCCCCGCCGAAATCACAGAGCCAGATCGTAGATCCGTGATGACCGTATCAAAAGCTCATTGCCCATATACATTATTATCAATTTGTAATATATGCAATGTCCGATATGGTGTAGTGGCTAACATCGCCGTCTCTCACACGGCAGCCGGGGGTTCGATTCCCCCTATCGGAGTTATATATAACAGAATGTTATATATTATATATTTTGCTCTTTTGTTGAAACAGGTCCCAGCACCTTTTTGCGGATCTTTCTCATGTCTATGACTTTTAGAGTTTGGGGGTCGATGCCACAGGAGGGGATGAATATTCATCGAATCTGGAAGGTGCAATGGTCGCCTGCCCCGGGCCCCGCCCGGCCCGCCGGCGGTGTCTAGTTCTTTCCGGTTTAGGCAATATAGCACTACGCAGTGCCGTGGACCAGTGACTTCAGTTACTACCTTTTTCTAAGCGGTAGAGCAAGTGAGAGTATGACCTGCAAGAATTAAAGGAGAAGTACGGAGTCGACGTTAGTTAATTCAAGTTCTATGCTGATCGTAAGACCGCATGTATGACTTTGAGTTGCTGTCAAGGTAAATGATCATATGCGAAAAAGTCACGATAAGGCCCTCCCGGTGGAGGTAAAGTATGCGCCAAGAAATCTCCGACAACAGCAGGACCCCCCAAATCACTGGTCCCTCTACTCACAAGTACACGGTATAGATCGATCACCGAGATCAAGTCCTAGATCAACTAATAAGCTTAAAGTAACACGTCCCAGTAAGCCAATGAAACTCTGGACGAAGCGGATGACTACATTGCTGCATCACCGCCTCTGATTCGATGTGACATCACCATTTGGCTCCGTCATCGCCGCGATACCAATTCTCAATTCTACTTATTGTAGACCACAGCGTAGAATTACCTGGGCCTGATTCAATGCGCTCCTCTCTTGGATTATTTCCAGACTCACACAGTGCCTTTCCAAAATGCAGACGATCAAGAACACAATTGCCGAAAACTTCGGCGGGCCGTCCCATGAGCTCGCCGAGCACAAGTTTAGCTTAGAGGAGGTTCCCGACCTCAGTGATAAGGTAGCGGTTGTGACGGGCGGCAGTGAAGGTACAGAGCAAGCTCGATGGGCCCCTTCAACTCGCACTTCGAGAACATAATCATGTACTAACCAAGATGGCCAGGCATCGGCTTCGGCTGCACCCACACGCTCCTATCCAAGAACATCGCCAAGCTGTTCGTCACATCGCTTCGCAAGGAGGTCGCCGACGATGCGCTCGCCGCCATCGAAGAGGAGTTCGGCCCGGAGAAGCGCAAGCGCTTCATCTGGCTGCAGTGCGACCTGTCGGACTGGGAGCAGACGGCGCACGTGGCGGGGGAGATCGCGTCGCAGACGGACCGGATCGACATCCTGATCAACAACGCGGGGCGGGGGATCATGAGCCGGCAGCTGGCGCCCACCAACGGGATCGACCAGCACATGGCGACGAACCACATGGGCCACGTCGTGCTGACGTCGCACCTGCTGCCGACGCTGAAGAAGACGGCCGACGCCGGCCACACGGTCCGCATCGTCAACCTCTCCTCCAACGTGCACAGCAGCGCGCCTGCCGACACCGAGTTCGCCTCCGTCGAGGAGCTGAACCGCGAATACGACCCCAACTCCCTGTACGGCCGCAGCAAGCTGGCCAACCTCCTGCACGCCAAGTGGCTGAACCAGCACCTCCGATCCACGCACCCCAACATCATCGTCAACGCGACGCACCCAGGCGTGGTCGACACGGCGCAGACGAACGTCCATATCCACGAGGCGTTCCCGCTGCTGGGCTACGGCATGTCGCTCGGGCTGAAGCCCTTCCGCAAGACGCAGTTCCAGGGCGCCGTCTCGACCATGTACGCGGCCACCGTCGCGACGGAGGGCGGCCAGTTCATCTGTCCGCCGTGCATCGTGGAGAAGGGCAGCGACAAGGCGAATGACATGCAGCTGGCTGATCGATTGATGAAGTTGACGGCTGAGGTTGTGGAGAAGAAAACTCGCTCGGAGAGTAGTGCCAAGGGGTGTCCTTTCAAGGAGGATTAATTGTAAGATATTTGTAACACTTAACGCAATTGGGATGACATTTGGCCTATGAAATCGGGGAATGACTTACCTTTTTGTAGCTGTATAGTAGTCAAGCTGCGGAAGAGGAAGTCATATATCCCCTATTGAGGTGTAAGCTGTTTACTGCATCATGTGGGTGAGTGGATAAGCATCGACCAGGGGCTTATGTTGTGCAATGCACACGAGTCAATTTGACTATCGACCTCACTCCGAACCGTCAGTAGACATCCATCTGTAGGTATCGAGGATGTATCTTGAAAGTTCAATGCAGCAGACAGGGAAATCCGCCGAGAAGGCTGGGGCGAGAAGCGGACCAAGCAAGTGTGCTTCCCAGTGTGATGAATTCCACGCAAATTCTCGATCTGGGAGTCTAGTCAGATACGAGAGAGGTCAATGCTTACAATTGACAAGGACATGATGAGACAACGGGGAGTTGTGCACAAAATCCGATAAAGAATTCTTGAGTCAGGGAGGTAGTGTTGTGTGTTGCAGTGGGGAGTCTGCGATCAGCAGCGGGAGTTAGCGTAGGCAGCCACTGCAGTCCACTACAACAACTCAAAACAGCAACCACGAGGTTGAGCTTGAAGCTAGTAACATTAGACCATCTTAATAAGAGGATTCTGCCACAGGAACTCAACTATCTCTTCTGTTCGACTTTCCCATACGAGTCCCGCGATGATGACTAGATACATACTGTACGCAAACCATCGCAGCACCTGCAGCTCAGGCTGCAACGTGCAGGAACAACATCTCAACAAATACATTCGTCAGAGATAAGGTCTTGCATGCCTGGATCGGCACGAGGCCCCGTCGATCTTATCTGGTGCAGAATCTGAGGAATGCAAGGTACTGATTTCCGTCCACCCTGAAGGAACTGACTACGATTGGCATTCGAAAGACAAATGCCGCATGCCACAGGACATCACAAGCAGGAGAGATTGGCACACCTACCCAAGAAGTGTGCACGATCGTATGGATAAGCTTTGACTGTTTAGACACTTTGAGTTTGAGTTACGCAGTACCATCCACAGAAAGCTAAGCTACTGCCTGCATGAGACCACAAAAGATATCGTCATACGTAAGGTGGCACATGGTGTCCGCGGCCCCCTCCCATCTCCCAAGCCTGATTGTTTACTCCCTAGACCGAGCCAGCACCGTGACTGGAGACCAGTTGTAAATGATCTTCTCCTTCTGCTGCGTCGCAAGGCACTGGAGAGCAACCTCTTGCTCGGACACCGACAACAGAATGTCCCCGGACAGTCCTCTTTTAATGCCCTGCGTCAACTCGCGCAGGGCTAGAATGTAGGTCCGGGTGCACAGGTCCATCAGAGGAGGGGCGAACCGGCCGTGGTCGGACTCGACGATCTCCAGATCCTCCTTACGCATGCGATCGGGGAGCTCGGAGACCCAGCTAGAAGAACAAGTCAACATAGATAGGGTTGTGATTCTGGTAGGAGGACGCACATGTAGTTGAGGTCGACCCGCCGAAACAAGTCGCTCATCCGCGCAGCGGTCTCCTCCGCCACGCGGCCCTCCGTGACCTGGTTGTGCAGGTCCGCGTCTTCCCACTGAATGTAGCCCCCTGGCTCTGTGGGTGGCTGCGAATTAGCATGACATTTCGATGATGTGGGGTCAGCAGTGGGTCATTTGAGCTTACTTAGGAGTTGCTTGGTCTGGCGGATCAGGGTAGCTGTCTCGCCTTCGCGTACATTGCTCGCCCACATCCGCAGATGCACCACATCATATTGTCCCTCCAGGGAAGGTGGTAGATCAGACATCAGGTCTATCACGCTGAACGTCATGTTCTTCGCCCACAGCCCAGAGGGCGGGTACTGTTGGTCACTACTGTCGAGGCCATGCAGTTGCACGGTGGGCGGCAGCTGTCTCGACAGGTCAAGGAGCCAGGTTCTGTGCATATTGTGAGTAGAGGATTCAGTTTGAGCAATTCATCATGTTACAGACCCCGTGCCGCAACCTAGGTCGGCAATTTTCATGTCATTGCGGACTGGAATCTCAGGATGTAGCTCGTATCCCTTGTGGAATTTCCACAGGAGATGCTGAGCATCCAATCTGTAGTATATTCAGCACCCGCCAAGTCTGTGTGACCTTCATCGCAAGAGTATAATAAGTAGAGAGACATCTAAGTGGTTACCTTACGGAGTCCGTGATGCTTCGTCCGAGGATGTAATCGTCCGCCGGAATCATGGCGCTCCCCATTGTCGCTTACGTTGATCTGGTGAGTTGATCTAGATAGGTTGAAGATCGAGCATATCGAGGTTAATACGTGATGGTCCAGATTCTCAGGGTCCATCGAGACTTTTATAGTTCCTTCTCGGTGATTTAGGCTTGGGGATTATCCGCATCGGAATATCGTCTGCGAACTGTTTAACTGCAAATCGACCGACACGGAATCGAATGAGATCATAAAATAGCCGGTCTGTAAGGTCCGTTGTTTGTGACACTACCGAGAAATCGAAGTCGAAAGCCATATTGAGCGTATTCTGCTGGCGAATCCAATGATGGTTTGACATGGAATGGTGCTACTATTCGCATCCGCTCGGATAGCAGGAATGAGATCTTCAGGATCGGATCTTTCTATTTAGAACGAATAGAAAAGATACCAAGAATCTGAACAAGCAATAGTAGATTTGCATATGAGATCCCCGTATTTGATGACGTCTTGGGCTTGCGATAGAGTCACTCCTGCCTCTGCTGACAGGGAGTGCCGCTGCTCGCACATTCCGACGCCGGGATCCTGGCATGTTCGCACAAAGTCAATGTTGATAGTGCAGCCGTTCTGGCAGTAATAGTTTGAGCATAAGCCACTTTCTGGCTCTCCCACTGCTGCCCATGTCTAATCATGGTTGGAAAATTCGTCTTGTGCGAAACCACTTTAGTCCGAAAGACAACGGAACAGGCAACTGAGAAGTCGCTCGTTATTTGTTGCTAGTACATCGCCTTCGAGGACGCCGATGATCACACACTCGCTGCTATTGCTTGATCGCTGGGATGTGTACTTCTGCACACGGCTGACCTCTCACGAACGCAAGAGAGTACGTAACAATCCCCGAGATGAGCTCACATAGTGGTGTCTCAGAGCCGAACCTGTTTATCGGAGCTCGGATTTATTCTGCTCAATGTCCTGGTACGTTGCTCTTGCATTACCTGCAAACACGTAAGAGATTGGCGCGACTCGATGATCCAGATCTTGCGATCTTCAAAAGGCCCATGGCCATGGCTCTGCGTTACACAGAGATTGGCTTGGTCACAGTCGAGGTTACACATCATCTCGCATGCTAGCCTGAATCTGCAGGCGGAGATGATGTCTGATCGGCGAGTCCGATGCTGCTGCAGAACAAGTATGGCTAGCTTGGGATGATGCAATAAAAGCAAGATAAATATGAGACGCAGCGAATCATGCTAGCGATCGGCCGTACTTTGCTTTTTCTCATATCATTTGTATCGACCAATCATCGCAACAAGCACAGCCAATGCAATGTGATATCAGACCGAATTAGCCACTCTGCCATGTGAGTACGCCGATATCTGCATTCTTCAGCTGAGCCTAGACCAGCGGGTCAATCACCTGCGGCTTTCCAATGAACCACAGATTTTCATTCATTAAACAGTGCTTATTGAATAGAGTGAGTGTGAGGACGAAGTGCTCATGAAACCTATAAATTTCTTCCAGTGGTGAGTACCAAAGGGTCTTTGATTCTACAAACGTCCCCCGCACAATACTGACCTAAATTGAGAGCTTTGCTACCGATTTCCAAAACCACTTGTCTGTGTCCTTTTGAATAGTGTCCTTGGTGCATCTCAGAAAATATGAGCTTCAGCCGCACTGCCATAACTCTTACTCCGGGAACGCCCGACACTCTCGAGAGAGTGGTTGAAGTACTGCGAGCCCACAAGAGTGATGACTATTATGCATATGAGCGAGAGGGGAAATGGTACCTGGGCATCGGCAATCACTCGTCACTCATAGTTGACCCTAAGGGGGAGACGGCGACAGTCTCCGCCGGTCCTCACAGAGAATCGCACCCGATCACCAGTCCGTTGGCGGATGTCGCAAGAGACTTTGTGTCGAAGCACGCCAATGACGCCCGCAAGGTATTCGGATATGTCGGGTTCAACTACGCGGCACATGCGCGCGGTATCCCGTTTACGGCCGGTCGATGGCCGCTTGTGAGCTTGATGGTTCCACGCATTGAGATATCGTTCTCGCCAGACAAGGTTAATCTGACGGGGAATGACAACGAGGAAGTAAAAGAATTGGCTGAGCTGATCAACGGTGCCACCAGCGTTGATCCTACACCAAATCAAAGTATCAACACGCAAGACTCTGCGGGAGAGTACCTGGCTCGCGTCGAAGCCGCGCTGGCGGAGATCGCTGAAGGGAAGTATACGAAGGTCATCCCTTCACGAGCCGTGGAAATTGCCGGGCGAGCGGACATGCCGGCTACCCTGCTTTGTGGTCGACGCTGCAATGCACCCGCACGGAGCTTTTCCCTGAGCCACGGGGGCTACCAAGCAACCGGTTTCAGTCCCGAGCTCGTGATGTCAGTCAAAGGGGGGAAAGTGACCACTGAGCCGCTGGCTGGAACGCGATCGCGCAAGGGCAAAGACACTGAGGTTGAACGCTTGAGGCAGGAATTGCTCAACGATCCCAAGGAGATTGTGGAGCATGTAATCTCCGTCCGGGAAGCGATCGACGAGCTGAAGCGACTCTGTCTAGAGGATACAGTCAGTGTTGAGGACCTGATGTCAGTCCGACCTCGGGGCAGTGTCCAGCATCTCGGGTCTACCGTGACTGGCTTCCTGAAGCCGGAAAAAGACCCCTGGGACGCCCTCGACGTCCTCTTTCCTTCTATCACTGCATCTGGAATACCGAAGCAGGCGGCACTGGAGGGAATCCAGCGCCTCGAACATCGTCCTAGGGAGTTGTACTCGGGTGCCGTTCTGATGATCGAAGGCAACAAGACCCTTGAGGCAGCTCTTGTTCTCCGAACTGTCTTCCAGGATCAGAGTTGTCAGTGGGTGCAGGCTGGTGCTGGTGTCATCGCGCAATCGACCCCTGCGCGCGAACTCATTGAGACTCAAGAAAAACTGGCGAGCATAGCTCCGTTTGTGGTTAGCGAGATTGAAGAATAAGAGGACATCGATCGAGACCGTCAAGGGTGGCTCTGGTCAGAAGCCAGGATGTCATTATTGTTGCTGTCCAGATCCAGCGGTTTCTTTTCAGTAGCAGAGATAAAAATCAAGAATTCGTCTGGTGGCTGAGAGTGGTAGGTTGAAGATCATAGCATGTGATCTGAGGCCGAGTCATGTCGGCCACACTCGACCGCCCGGCCGCATACAAACTGAGCTGTACTCTACATTCCAGAGCGCGGGAAATGATGAAATCTGCTGCATGGTGGGAACTTTACATACGTCAATCTACACATATACAGTCTGCTGTCCTCTGCTACCAGTATCAACTTTAACATGGTCAAGCCACTTACTTGAATCATGTATCTCAAGGCAATGACATAATTAAGCCACTCCGACCGAGTCATGTACAGGATATGCGTATATGTCTGGACTAAGGCATCAGTAAGGAATTGGCCTATATAAAGTACAGTACTCAGTATGCTCATACACAGGGTCCCAAATGATAAGCACCAGACCAGTCCACGACGGCACGAAACCCTTCTTGCGCAATCTGCAGCAAAGCAACCAACACCATCACAATTTCATCCTCTTCATCAGAATGCCAACACTTCCCACCCTCACCCTCATCCTCACCTACACGGTATCCAGCTACCTAGCCCTCCGATGCCTCCAACCACCTGCACCCGAACCCGAACCTTCCGATAACGATAAGTCCAAAGACCGCGTCGCCACCGTCATCGACCCCCTCTTCCTCCTCCTGAAGCTCATCATCCCACTGAGCTTCCTCTACCTAGCGCTGCTAGCCCTCCTGCACGACGACCCGCCATCCTCGCCGTGGATGACCGCCGTCTGCCCATCCCCAACCAACGCACCCACCGAACCCCTCACCTGGACGCCGTCCACAGCCACAAGCCTGCTCCTGTTCTACATCGGCGCATGGACACGACTGGCCGCCTATCGCGCCCTGGGCGTGGACTTCACTTTCCACCTCGCCAAGCCGACCGAGGGACTGGTGACCGACGGGGTGTACCGGTACGTCCAGCATCCCAGCTACACGGGCGGGTTGCTCATGGTCGTGGGGTACGTGCGGCTGGCGATGGAGGAGTTCGTCCCGACGCTGGCGGCCTGCTGGTCGGTGTCCGAGACGTCCAGTCGGGGTAGTCTCGTGTTTCATGCCTGGGGCCGGGTGGGGCTGCTGCTGCTGGCGACGGGGGTCTTTCTGGGGATCACCTATTTCAGGGTCCAGGATGAGGAGAGGATGCTGAAACGGGACTTTGGGGTCGAGTGGGAGCGGTGGCATCGTCGAACTGCTCGCTTGATCCCGTTTGTGTGGTGAGGAAGGGTGGACCTGGAGGTTGGGTTGGGTCGAATGCGCTACTGTAGATGTGTGAATAGTTCCTGTTCTTCTCAAGTCTTGATTTGGGGTTGGTTTGGCAGCCAGGTTTGGTAGATAGCATTTTCTTTCTTTTCCTTTGGATTGGTCTTGATTGGCTTATTGAACATTCTATTGCGGGATTAGGTTAGGTCTGGTTCGATGTGGTTCCTTCGCACTATGCAAACCATACCAACCTAAGTACCATAGGTCTTTGATAAGAAGAAAAAGAAAAGAAGAAGGTTGGTTGCATTAAATGAAGATAAACTTCCGAAAAACGTATCGCTCAATCTAAACTCAAAACCGGGGGGATCTAGGGGAAGAGAAAGGAGGCTCAGCCTACCACTACCAGTCATCGGGCTCGTAGGCAGGCTCCTCATCACGCTCGACGTCACGCTCGATGTATACTTCGCGCTCGTGGTAGATCTCACGCTGGGGGGAGCCTTCGCGCTCTTCACGCTCCTCGTCGCTCGAGCTCGAGTGCTCCTCTGTTCGGAATTAGTTAGCAAGGTATAACCACAATGCAAACCGATGGTCGACCTGAGAGGAGGTATGACTTACCCAGTTCGTGGTTGATGAGAGCACCGGCGGCAACACCGAGAGCCAGGCCGCCAGCAGCACCAAGCATCATCTTCTTGCGCTCGTTCTTCTTCTGCTCTTCAGGGTCGACGTATTCACCGCCCTGCTGAGGTGGGTAGTATCCACCCTGCTGGGGAGGGGGGTAGTATCCGCCCTCCGGCGGAGGAGGAGCAGGTGAAGAAGCACCGTAGTATCCACCCGGAGGTCCGGCAGGAGCCAGATCACGGGAGCCGTCGGAGTCGCCTAGAGGAGGCTCCCACTGAGAGCGGCCGGTAGCGACTTCGACGAAGAAAGCACGGCGGGCGTTGGGCTCCCATTCCTGGGTCCAGCCCATGGGAAGAGGAGGGGGAGGAACCGGGGGAGGCCGGAAGGAGGAAGGGGGGCTGGCGTATGGAGGGCGAGAGTCGTAAGAGCGGTCGGCGCCTTCGTAGGGAGGACGCTCTGGAGGGGGACCACCCTGGTAGGGAGGTCTCTCGTAGGGGGAGCCCTGGTAGGGAGGTCTGTCGGAAGGCGGGCGATCATAGGGAGGTCTGTCATATGGGGGGCGCTCGTAGGGAGGTCTGTCAGCGGGAGGGGCGTCGTAGGGGGGGCGCTCATAAGGAGGGCGCTCCTGGTAGTAAGGCTGTCCTCCGTAGTAAGACATTGTGGGTTGATTCTGCACTCGTGGTGATGATTAGAGCAACAGAGAGGGAAGTGGGTGGGAGAGAGAAGATTCAGATGGGAAGAGAGGATGAAACAGAAGTCAAGAGGACAGAGAAGCACCAGAAGACCCTTAAATAGTCTCTTGTGATGGTCCCTGTCAGCTGGAGAGGGGAGGGGTGGGCGGATGGAGTCAGGTCACAGATGCAGCATCCACTCTGCCATTGCTATCAGGGATATTAACGGCCCTCGGGGACTCATGGCAGCCAACGAATGACCTGGGCAAGCGCTAAAAAAAGAGGGTATCCACCGCGTTATTTGTTGAGATGGAGAAAGTGCCAATCCATAGTCCGGTTTCATTGTTGATTGTAGATCTGAAGTTGTGACAATGCAGAGGATTTAGGCAGATACGTAACACAAGCGCCCCTGATGGGTGTGGGTGTGGGACCCGATGTGCAAGCAGTTGGCCTCATAATAATAATAATAATGCTGGAATGCGATGGAATTCTGCCCTTGATGCCATAAGGCCAGCTCGACAGCTTTTCTTTCTTGGGGAAGGACGATGAGGAGAAATTGCGGGGCAAGTTTTCGTTTATCCCTGTAGGGAGAAGAGATGGAGGGGCAAAAGCAGCCTTAACCTTGTCAGGCACATAGCTAGGTAGTTTCTTGAAAAGTCAACTGAGCAACAGACATGACGACAATCGACTGGATTGCAGTCTTCAACTCGTATGAGCTACCAGTCGGGGCAGAGCTGTCAATATCCGGACTAATGAACAGAGGGCGACTGGGGAAATGAATGACTTGTCCAAGCGATGATGGATGCCGCAGCAATCCGTCTCCTTTTTCGGTCCTTGGCGCCACATTGGGGGCTGGTGTGAAATACCATCCAATCAAAAGTGACTTGCTGCTGCATCAGCCACGAAGGACTGGACCCCCACTGTTTAATCACTGGCGAGTGAACACGCAACTGAATCAACTGAATCAACTGAATCCGCCCGCGGTGTCCGGTGATAGATAGCAACACTGGCAGACAAGAACCCTTCCTCGGCTTGGCGGGTCCTCGGCCTTCCAGAAATTACTAAACTAAGCTGTGGGCCATGGTTGAGTGCCGCCCTCCAAAAGACATCCATGCTAATTTGGGAACCTGGCAACTGGAATAGGAGTCCAGTTGCAGTTGCACGCTTTCTACTAGCTCATGGCAGCATCGCACAGGGGAAATCTTCTTCTCCTGAGAGGCCGGATAAATTCCAGAGAGAGGGAAGAAATTATCATCCTATCTGTAACAGTAGTCTCTGAGCGCGCAATCCGTACGCCGTGCCAAGACTTTACTCGGAGCCCCTGAGCGATTCGCCACGTGTGCCTCAATGAGTGGCTGTGTCTCCGCGGCGAAAGGCACCGCTCAGCCACAGGCCGGGCAGTCCCAAGCGCTTTTCCTCTTTCAATCTTCCCGTTCGCCGAGGGGCTACGGATCCGTTCGGAGCATCTTTCTACGCGCTAGGGCCCTTCTGCTGTGTGGAAAATAGTGAGTGCACTTTCAGGTAACCAATGCACCTGTAACACAGGATTTTCGATGTGTCTGCCTCGGTCGAGAGGATTCGAGAAAATCGATTGATCCAAAATACCAGTCATATAGCGGAGCAACTCTGCCAAGCAGGACACCCAGGCAACAATATTTACAGTCTCGACCATAAGTTATATGCCACAAAACTCCTCGAATCCTGGTCAATCCATTCCTCCGCTCAAATTCAAATTCCACCTCAATCCAATTTGAAACTAATCATAAATTCCATTTGCCGAAGAATGGAGTCCACAGTCTGCATCTGACACAGTGTCCAGACGTGTCAGGCTCATCATACTGACGGCTTCTGCCGTCGTATCAATGTTAAGAACGATTATGCGCTGCCGGCGAAGTTGCTGGATTCTCCACTGCCGGGGTAAAAGAAGGCACCGACACTACAAGTCTCGTTAGAACCGAGTTCAATAGAATATGGCGGGGAAAGCCAATACAACATACCCAATAATAACATAGGCTGCGATGAGCAGAGATCCCTCCAAGTAGTTACTCCTGCCGTCCAGGACAAGGAAGTTCACGACGAAGGCCGTTACGAAGAGGGATATGGTCTCGAATAAAGTAAAGTACAAAGACATGTCTTTGTCCATACACCAACCGAGGATAACCACCAAGGGAGTGACGAAGATAGCTGCTGGAGGTCAGCTCAGGTCCTAGAAAGTCCAAGAGTCGAATAGTACATACCAATTTGGATACTGCTACCAACAGACACACCAATAGCAAGATCCATCTTGTTCTTGGTAGCCACACTCACGGCCGTCACGTGTTCGGCGGCGTTACCAACAATAGGCAGGATGATCAGACCGATGAAAGCCTCGCTGACAGACGAGCTTTGAATCATGTTGGGGATGGCATCAACCAAGAATTCTGCACAGACTGCAACAAGAGCTGTTGAGACGAGGAGCATGACCACCGCGGAGGTGCGAGACATTTCTGGCTCGGGGTGTTCAGGAGTGTCTTCGACAGTGGCCGCGCTGACCACAGTAGGCATGCGAGATGCTCCACGAGCAAACTGTACAGCACTTCCCACGGGGGGGGGACGATTGGAGAAAGAAGGAAGCGAGTGTGTACGGCGGAGTCCAGATGCACCGGTGAGATTCGTTGGTTGTGCAATGCCCGGCGCGGTGGAGAACACTGTGTTGGAGAGCAATGAGGGAATGGTAGGCCTAAATGGCGATCGTCTCTTAGGCACTTCGGGGGTTTCCTCGACCGGAATTTGTAGATCGCTATGATCAACAGCAGGTTCCGATTGATAAGACTTCATGGGTGGCCGTCCGTTCATAGCTGTGTTGGTGGCGCCCTCGGCGTTTTCCGCACGCTTCTCCCGCTTTTTCCTCTCCTGCTTCTTGGCCTTTTTCTCCTGCTTCGAGGCCTTCGGGGCAGCTCCGAAGTCCCGCGACTGCGGTTCGTAGTCTCTCGAATGTGGCTCGTGATCCGCATCATAGCGAGTATCGTCGCCAAAATCGATAACAAAAGACCCCGAGCCCTCTGCATGGCTAGTGGTACTGTTCAAGTCGCCAGAGCCGTGAGCCTCATCAATGACCGCCGACGATGGCAATTCCACCAGCGACTTCTTACGAAACGATTGCGGAGATACGGTTCCACGTGAGCTCGTGCTTGATTTTCGGTGGCGTCTGTGTTTCATGGCCCTCTTGATGCGTTTGGCGGTAGACCAGGACGTTGTGGTGTCAACGGATTCGTCGGAAGAACTGCTTGAATCTGACGAGCTGTTCATAAACTCGGCCAGCACACCTGGGTGGGATTCTTCGTCAATAATCTGCTGAGGAGTACTGGCGTACAGATAGGCATGCGACTTGAGCTGAAAAACGATGTACAAGGCGTACACAAGAAGCAACACCTGTTATTTGAGACAATTAGTGTTTGATGCACTTCACATCGTAATACTGAAAGAGCTTACCACACTAGTTCCTCGGCTGACTTTGAGGGTGTATTTGTCGGCATTCGAGCTATCTGACCAAGAAGCATGGAAGGCCGTCTGGTGACTACGTTAGTTCTGCACCCTCAGACGTGTCAAGTCATCACTCACAGGTAATAACAAGCTCATGACGCTCAAGCTAAGAAGACAAGCACTCATTTGGGTGACCGTACTGTTGTAGATCTAGATAACTTCAGCACACAACTCAGAAGCACAGACAAGAATTACTTACCTGTTCCT